TACTAACACAGACAGTAATTATGTTCTATAACTAACAACACAGACAGTAATTATGTTCTATTACTAACACAGACAGTAATTATGTTCTATAACTAACAACACAGACAGTAATTATGTTCTATTACTAACACAGACAGTAATTATGTTCTATAACTAACAACACAGACCCTAATTATGTTCTATTACTAACACAGACAGTAATTATGTTCTATAACTAACAACACAGACAGTAATTATGTTCTATAACTAACAACACAGACAGTAATTATGTTCTATTACTAACACAGACAGTAATTATGTTCTATAACTAACAACACAGACAGTAATTATGTTCTATAACTAACAACACAGACCCTAATTATGTTCTATTACTAACACAGACAGTAATTATGTTCTATTACTAACACAGACAGTAATTATGTTCTATAACTAACAACACAGACTATAATTATGTTCTATTACTAACACAGACAGTAATTATGTTCTATAACTAACAACACAGACAGTAATTATGTTCTATAACTAACAACACAGACAGTAATTATGTTCTATTACTAACACAGACAGTAATTATGTTCTATAACTAACAACACAGACAGTAATTATGTTCTATAACTAACAACACAGACCCTAATTATGTTCTATTACTAACACAGACAGTAATTATGTTCTATAACTAACAACACAGACAGTAATTATGTTCTATTACTAACACAGACAGTAATTATGTTCTATAACTAACAACACAGACAGTAATTATGTTCTATTACTAACACAGACTATGTTCTATAACTAACAACACAGACTATAATTATGTTCTATTACTAACACAGACAGTAATTATGTTCTATTACTAACACAGACAGTAATTATGTTCTATAACTAACAACACAGACTATAATTATGTTCTATAACTAACAACACAGACTATAATTATGTTCTATAACTAACAACTCAGACCCTAATTATGTTCTATTACTAACACAGACAGTAATTATGTTCTATAACTAACAACACAGACAGTAATTATGTTCTATTACTAACACAGACAGTAATTATGTTCTATAACTAACAACACAGACTATAATTATGTTCTATTACTAACACAGACAGTAATTATGTTCTATTACTAACACAGACAGTAATTATGTTCTATAACTAACAACACAGACAGTAATTATGTTCTATAACTAACAACACAGACCCTAATTATGTTCTATTACTAACACAGACAGTAATTATGTTCTATTACTAACACAGACAGTAATTATGTTCTATAACTAACAACACAGACTATAATTATGTTCTATTACTAACACAGACAGTAATTATGTTCTATAACTAACAACACAGACAGTAATTATGTTCTATAACTAACAACACAGACAGTAATTATGTTCTATTACTAACACAGACAGTAATTATGTTCTATAACTAACAACACAGACAGTAATTATGTTCTATAACTAACAACACAGACCCTAATTATGTTCTATTACTAACACAGACAGTAATTATGTTCTATAACTAACAACACAGACAGTAATTATGTTCTATTACTAACACAGACAGTAATTATGTTCTATAACTAACAACACAGACAGTAATTATGTTCTATTACTAACACAGACAGTAATTATGTTCTATAACTAACAACACAGACTATAATTATGTTCTATTACTAACACAGACAGTAATTATGTTCTATTACTAACACAGACAGTAATTATGTTCTATAACTAACAACACAGACAGTAATTATGTTCTATAACTAACAACACAGACCCTAATTATGTTCTATTACTAACACAGACAGTAATTATGTTCTATAACTAACAACACAGACAGTAATTATGTTCTATAACTAACAACTCAGACCCTAATTATGTTCTATTACTAACGCAGACAGTAATTATGTTTTATAACTAACAACACAGATAGTAATTATGTTCTATAACTAACAACTCAGACCCTAATTATGTTCTATTACTAACACAGACAGTAATTATGTTCTATAACTAACAACTCAGACCCTAATTATGTTCTATTACTAACACAGACAGTAATTATGTTCTATAACTAACAACACAGACAGTAATTATGTTCTATTACTAACACAGACAGTAATTATGTTCTATTACTAACACAGACAGTAATTATGTTCTATTACTAACACAGACAGTAATTATGTTCTATTACTAACACAGACTATAATTATGTTCTATAACTAACAACACAGACTGTAATTATGTTCTATTACTAACAATTCAGACTGTAATTATGTTCTATAACTAACAACTCCAATCGTAATATGTTCTATTACTAACAGCACAGACCGCAATTATTCTCTTTACTAACAACACAGACCTTTACTTACAGCTCATTCTGATTGCATTGGATTGACATTCAGATATCAAGTATTTTGTAAACACATGCGTGCAGATATTTGTAGCACCCAAATACTCAAATGCCATGTTGAATACTACACAACAACCTGAAATAATTGTATATTGTTTATTGCACAGCTGTATTGGCTGACCATAGGTCGAAGTTGTGATTGTATAATAATATCAATACATACAGAATACACTGTAGAATATCAAAACCTTCATTTTACATACAGAATACACTGTAGAATATCAAAACCTTCATTTTACATACAGAATACACTGTAGAATATCAAAATCTTCATTTTACATACAGAATACACTGTTGAATATCAAAACCTTCATTTTACATACAGAATACACTGTTGAATATCAAAACCTTCATTTTACATACAGGATACACTGTAGAATATCAAAACCTTCATTTTACATACAGAATACACTGTAGAATATCAAAACCTTCATTTTAACATACAGAATACACTAGAATATCAAAACCTTCATTTTAACATACAGAATACACTAGAATATCAAAACCTTCATTTTACATACAGAATACACTGTAGAATATCAAAACCTTCATTTTACATACAGAATACACTGTAGAATATCAAAATCTTCATTTTACATACAGAATACACTGTAGAATATCAAAACCTTCATTTTACATACAGAATACACTAGAATATCAAAACCTTCATTTTACATACAAACACTGTAGAATATCAAAACCTTCATTTTACATACAGGATACACTGTAGAATATCAAAACCTTCATTTTACATACAGAATACACTGTAGAATATCAAAACTTCCATTTTACATACAGGATACACTGTAGAATATCAAAACCTTCATTTTACATACAGAATACACTGTAGAATATCAAAACCTTCATTTTACATACAGAATACACTGTAGAATATCAAAACCTTCATTTTACATACAGAATACACTGTAGAATATCAAAACCTTCATTTTACATACAGGATACACTGTAGAATATCGAAACCTTCATTTTACATACAGAATACACTGTAGAATATCAAAACCTTCATTTTACATACAGAATACACTGTTGAATATCAAAACCTTCATTTTACATACAGAATACACTGTTGAATATCAAAACCTTCATTTTACATACAGGATACACTGTAGAATATCAAAACCTTCATTTTACATACAGAATACATTGTAGAATATCGAAACTTTCATTTTAACATACAGAATACAATACCTTCAGTAGAATATAAACTGGAAATAGCTTTCTGGGCCACAATTCTGTATCCTTTAAATGTATATACAGGACAATCAACTCTCTAAGTCCTACTGTAATTTGTATGTATTCTGAGGTAATCCCTCTCTACCTACCATGAAATTATTCTGTACAACATTTATTTATACTGAAGAAGCCTGTTTGTAATAGAATGACATTCAGAGTAAAACATCTGCCTCTGGCATAAAGTATATATTGAAAACATGTCAATCATTATGTAATGTCTTACAAATTGAAGTGGCTTTGTCAGTGTGCTGATGTATATACAACAAATGAATGATGAAAATTGAAATGGAATGACAACATCGTTAAGATAAAGGAAGAAATAAAATAAAACCAGCACCAAACCTGAGCTACATATTCCCAGAAACATCAGTACATGATACTTGAAATGAAAATTATTCCCACTACTTCAAAATAATCTATGACATTAGAGTCATTCCTTGTGCTTAAACATCAGTCATATGACATAACATATCATTCATTTATCTAAAACATCAGTCACACGACATAACATAGCATTCCATTGTCTATAACACTTGTCACATGACATAACATAGCATTCCACAGTCTAAAACACTTGTCACATGACATAACATAGAATCCTATTGTCTATAACACTTGTCACATGACATAACATAGCATTCCATTGTCTATAACACTTGTCACATGACATAACATAGCATTCCACAGTCTAAAACACTTGTCAAATGACACAACATAGCATCCCATTGTCTATAACACTTGTCACATGACATAACATAGCATTCCATTTTCTATAACACTTGTCACATGACATAACACAGCATTCAATTGTCTATAACGCTTGTCACATGACATAACATAGCATTCAACTGTCTATAACACTTGTTACATGACATAACACAGCATTCATTTTTAATGTCTAACACATTTAAAAAGACCAAAATATCATCTACATGACAACAAATAATGTTCAACTGTCAAAAGCAACAATGTATTAGTAAAAGCATTCATTTTTAACATCACACAGTTAGGCAAAAGACAAAATATCATCGTACAGCCATCACACAAACAGGGATGTCAACTGTCAAAAGCATCACAATGTTAATGGACAGCGATGTCACAAACATACAGCCATCACAGGCTGTTAATAGACAGCGATGTCACAAACATACAGCCATCACAGGCTGTTAATAGACAGGGATGTCACAAACGTACAGCCATCACAGGCTGTTAATAGACAGGGATGTCACAAACGTACAGCCATCACAGGCTGTTAATGGACAGCGATGTCACAAACGTACAGCCATCACAGGCTGTCAATAGACAGCGATGTCACAAACGTACAGCCATCACAGGCTGTTAATAGACAGCGATGTCACAAACGTACAGCCATCACAGGCTGTTGATAGACAGCGATGTCACAAACGTACAGCCATCACAGGCAGTTAATGGATAGCGATGTCACAAACATACAGCCATCAAAGGCTGTTAATGGAGAGCGATGTCACAAACGTACAGCCATCAAAGGCAGTTAATGGAGAGCGATGTCACAAAAGTACAGCCATCACAGGCAGTTAATGGAGAGCGATGTCACAAACGTACAGCCATCACAGGCTCTTAGGCAGTTAATGGACAGCCATGTCACAAACGTACAGCCATCAGAGGCAGTTAGGCAGTTAATGGAGAGCGATGTCACAAACGTACAGCCATCACAGGCAGTTAATGGAGAGCGATGTCACAAACGTACAGCCATCACAGGCTGTTAATGGAGAGCGATGTCACAAACGTACAGCCATCACAGGCAGTTAATGGACAGCGATGTCACAAACATACAGCCATCAAAGGCAGTTAATGGACAGCGATGTCATCACAGCCATTGTGGCAGATCAAACTGATCATATACAGCTAATTTCTAAATCATTTGAGGTTGATATCTAAAATAAAATTGATCTACGTTGTTACGTACAAGGTCACATGTTTAACTTGGTGTTAGACTTTGACGTGTTGTCAATGTTAAAGCAAGACTGATGCTTTATAATGACATTCATACACGATTTCATATCTATTTCAATTTACATACAAGATTTCATAAAATATATCTTCAAAGGTTTTATTTAGTAAACAAACAGTAAAATGTTTGGACTATTTACATAAAATCTTGTATGAAATTCAAGCAAATTATGATATTTCGGATCACACAGGACAGGTTTCAGAGTCTACACATGTGAGGATAAAATGATACAGAGGCAGACATCCCGACGTAAGGTCATTATCCAGAGTATGACATCACAATCAATTTCTGACCAGTACAACCAATAAAAAACGCTCCAAAGCATATCAATATTACACAAGTGACATATAAAACACTATAGACAAATTCACTGGTTAACAGGCTGATAATGTGATAAAATCTATGTACTTACTGAGGTAGTAATCTATATATTAGATTTCAGTAAATTTATAAACACAAACCCACAGTTTACCTGTATACAGTAAGGATTATACATAAATACACCAACATTTACAAATTAGAAACTGTATCAAACTCTGTACTTTTATAAAGACATGTAATATAAATATGAAGTCTTATCAACATTCAAAACTATATATGACGTATTGTGGAAAAAAATCTACCCAAGGAAGACAATTTTTGACTTGTGTCCTGTAGATGGCCTTGTCTCGTACTCACAATCTATGGTAACAAATGACCTAGTTGACAACTTTTACAATTTCCACATACACCACCATGACATCCCAAAAAAAGATGACTGGAACAATACATTTATTTTATGGCACATTTATATTTTCATGTAACATTTTCAGTGAAATCTAAGTACAGACCATATATAAACTGAATGATATATATATATCTGTATATTATTGGGTGTATAAGGTTGTGTTAAAATTAATAACTGTAAAACCATACTAGTAAAATACTGATCCTAAAAACGTTGATTGTACACATATATAAATCTATAGATAAAGGAAATATCAACAAGTGATTAAACAAGAAATATGAACAATGTTGTGAGACTGGTTAATACAGAAAATTATAATACTATGTTGTTCATCACAAGCGAAACAATAACATTATCAAATTATTACATGTATAGATTTTAATAAACATGATAAATAAACAACTATATCTGAGTACAGGAAATTGAGAATTTTGTCATTATTACCTTAAGATATATAAAAACGTACCTAAGATTGATCTGAGTACAGGAAATTGAGAATTTTGTCATTATTACCTTAAGATATATAAACAAGTGTTGTTCCCGTTTAATAAGATCTAACATTCCATATCACACATGTCCATGTAGTTACCATACCAGTACAGATACGGTCAGTCAACGATAAGATTGTCATTATTTAATTGTAATATGCACAGGTATATCATTACATATCCAACATTATAAACAATATCAGATTATTCTTTATTTCAAGAAGTTGGTTTTCAAATCTTTTATTTTTCTAGAGAAACTCTACATACAAAAAAACACACATTAAAAAAAAAAAAAGAAAAAATACGAGACATGACAGGTCCTTACTGGATAAGTTCAGTTATACATATATCCCAGATCCTTCTAACGACAAATAAAAACATACAATAAAATATAAACCATTAATTTCATGTTCTTTAAAATTAATGAAACTACAGATGTTAATTATGTGAGAGATGTGTTCTAGATTAAAAAGAAACGTATATTTACACTAAACATGAGACAAAAATAAAGCCTGACTTGGGACACCAACACAACAAAAATATGGCACTGTGCATCAACCTGTTCACTGATTATATTAACTTTTGTATAAGGCTAAATGTAATTGTAACAATGTTTGCGGTGTTTATCGTCCTGTGATCAGCCAGGGTCATTTTGAGGAGGTGTCTACAATGAGAACTGGTGTCTACCTCACTGAACAACATATGGGAGGTCTGTTGCATGTTATCCAGAGCAATTTGAGTCGGGTGTTTTACCCACACAACCATTTAAGCACAGACCAGTCCATTTCTAAGCTTCCCCGAGAAACAAAAACTGCCATAAATAGGGACTATTTAACTATTCAACTATATTCCTCGGACCTTCACCTGAGGTCATATTGGCCAACACTGTAACTGACTGACCTGTCCCTAACCCTATTACAATGTAAGTTAAAATATAAAATATAGTATGTATCATTATAAGCATGTTATGATGTCACTGACATGCACCAACATTAACAGGACACTACATTGTGTATAGGAACCTGGTCACTCAGCACACTGGATCATTTAAGGGGTTACTGCTAGCTTTGATTTAACCAAAGTCTGTAAATGTTTTCAAAGAAGATGATGTTAAGACACACACATTTAGCTAGATTTAGGCTCTTCATGGTATGCAAGGGAGATTTTAGTACTTAGTGGTATACAGGAGAGATTTCATGACTTTGTGGTATACAGGGGAGATTTCATGACTTTGTGGTATACAGGGGAGATTTCATGACTTTGTGGTATACAGGAGAGATTTCATGACTTTGTGGTATACAGGGGAGATTTCATGACTTTGTGGTATACAGGAGAGATTTCATGACTTTGTGGTATACAGGGGAGATTTCATGACTTTGTGGTATACAGGAGAGATTTCATGACTTTGTGGTATACAGGAGAGATTTCATGACTTTGTGGTATACAGGAGAGATTTCATGACTGTGGTATACAGGAGAGATTTCATGACTTTGTGGTATACAGGGGAGATTTCATGACTTTGTGGTATACAGGAGAGATTTCATGACTTTGTGGTATACAGGAGAGATTTCATGACTTTGTGGTATACAGGGGAGATTTCATGACTTTGTGGTATACAGGAGAGATTTCATGACTTTGTGGTATACAGGGGAGATTTCATGACTTTGTGGTATACAGGGGAGATTTCATGACTTTGTGGTATACAGGAGAGATTTCATGACTTTGTGGTATACAGGAGAGATTTCATGACTTTGTGGTATACAGGGGAGATTTCATGACTTTGTGGTATACAGGAGAGATTTCATGACTTTGTGGTATACAGGAGAGATTTCATGACTTTGTGGTATACAGGGGAGATTTCATGACTTTGTGGTATACAGGGGAGATTTCATGACTTTGTGGTATACAGGGGAGATTTAGGTACCATGGTAGTTTGTGGTATACAGGGGAGATTTCATGACTTTGTGGTATACAGGGGAGATTTCATGACTTTGTGGTATACAGGGGAGATTTAGGTACCATGGTAGTTTGTGGTATACAGGGGAGATTTCATGACTTTGTGGTATACAGGGGAGATTTCATGACTTTGTGGTATACAGGGGAGATTTAGGTACCATGGTAGTTTGTGGTATACAGGGGAGATTTCATGACTTTGTGGTATACAGGGGAGATTTAGGTACCCTGGTAGATTGTGGTATACAGGGGAGATTTAGGTACCATGGTAGTTTGTGGTATACAGGGGAGATTTCATGACTTTGTGGTATACAGGGGAGATTTCATGACTTTGTGGTATACAGGAGAGATTTCATGACTTTGTGGTATACAGGGGAGATTTCATGACTTTGTGGTATACAGGAGAGATTTCATGACTTTGTGGTATACAGGGGAGATTTCATGACTTTGTGGTATACAGGGGAGATTTCATGACTTTGTGGTATACAGGGGAGATTTCATGACTTTGTGGTATACAGGGGAGATTTCATGACTTTGTGGTATACAGGGGAGATTTAGGTACCATGGTAGTTTGTGGTATACAGGGGAGATTTCATGACTTTGTGGTATACAGGGGAGATTTCATGACTTTGTGGTATACAGGGGAGATTTAGGTACCATGGTAGTTTGTGGTATTCAGGGCAGATTTAGGCACTTCATTGTAAACAGGGCAGATTTAAGGTCTTCTAGGTATAAAGGGCAGATTTAAGGTCTTCTAGGTAAACAGGACAGATTTAAACTCTTTAAGGTATACAGGGCAGATTTAAACCTCTTTAAGATATACAGGGCAGATTTAACCTATTTAAGGTATACAGGGCAGATTTAACCTCTTTAAGGTATACATGGCAGATTTAACCTCTTTAAGGTATACAGGGCAGATTTAACCTCTTTAAGGTATACAGGGCAGATTTAACCTCTTTAAGGTATACAGGGCAGATTTAACCTCTTTAAGGTATACAGGGCAGATTTAACCTCTTTAAGGTATACCTGGCAGATTTAACCTCTTTAAGGTATACAGGGCAGATTTAACCTCTTTAAGGTATACAGATTTAACCTCTTTAAGGTAGGGCAGATTTAACCTCTTTAAGGTATACAGGGCAGATTTAACCTCTTTAAGGTATACAGGGCAGATTTAACCTCTTTAAGGTATACCTCTTTAAGGTATACAGGGCAGATTTAACCTCTTTAAGGTATACAGGGCAGATTTAACCTCTTTAAGGTATACAGGGCAGATTTAACCTCTTTAAGGTATACAGGGCAGGGCAGATTTAACCTCTATACAGGGCAGATTTAACCTCTTTAAGGTATACAGGGCAGATTTAACCTCTTTAAGGTATACAGGGCAGATTTAACCTCTTTAAGGTATACAGGGCAGATTTAACCTCTTTAAGGTATACAGGGCAGATTTAACCTCTTTAGTATACAGATTTAACCTCTTTAAGGTATACAGGGCAGATTTAACCTCTTTAAGGTATACAGGGCAGATTTAATTATACAGGGCAGATTTAACCTCTTTAAAGGTATATACAGGGCAGATTTAACCTCTTTAAGGTATACAGATTTAACCTCAGATTTAACCTCTTTAAGGTATACAGGGCAGATTTAACCTCTTTAAGGTATACAGGGCAGATTTAACCTCTTTAAGGTATACAGGGCAGATTTAACCTCTTTAAGGTATACAGGGCAGATTTAACCTCTTTAAGGTATACAGGGCAGATTTAACCTCTTTAAGGTATAAGGTATACAGGGCAGATTTAACCTCTTTAAGGTATACAGGGCAGATTTAACCTCTCTTTAAGGTATACAGGGCAGATTTAACCTCTTTAAGGTATACAGGGCAGATTTAACCTCTTTAAGGTATACAGGGCAGATTTAACCTCTTTAAGGTATACAGGGCAGATTTAACCTCTTCAAGGTATACAGGGCAGATTTAACCTCTTTAAGGTATACAGGGCAGATTTAACCTCTTTAAGGTATACAGTGGTGATTTAACCTCTTTAAGGTATACAGGGCAGATTTAACCTCTTTAAGGTATACAGGGCAGATTTAACCTCTTTAAGGTATACAGGGCAGATTTAACCTCTTTAAGGTATACAGGGCAGATTTAACCTCTTTAAGGTATACATGGCAGATTTAACCTCTTTAAGGTATACAGGGCAGATTTAACCTCTTTAAGGTATACAGGGCAGATTTAACCTCTTCGAGGTATACAGGGCAGATTTAACCTCTTTAAGGTATACAGGGCAGATTTAACCTCTTTGAGGTATACAGGGCAGATTTAACCTCTTGAAGATATTAAGGGCAGATTTAACCTCTTTAAGGTATACAGGGCAGATTTAACCTCTTTAAGGGCAGATTTAACCTCTTTAAGGTATACAGGGCAGATTTAACCTCTTTAAGGTATACAGGGCAGATTTAACCTCTTTAAGGTATACAGGGCAGATTTAACCTCTTTAAGGTATACAGGGCAGATTTAACCTATATAAGGTAAACATGGCAGATTTAACCTCTTTAAGGTATACATGGCAGATTTAACCTCTTTAAGGAATACAGGGCAGATTTAACCTCTTTAAGGTATACATGGCAGATTTAACCTCTTTAAGGTATACAGGGCAGATTTAACCTCTTTAAGGTATACATGGCAGATTTAACCTCTTTAAGGTATACAGGGCAGATTTAACCTCTTTAAGGTATACATGGCAGATTTAACCTCTTTAAGGTATACAGGGCAGATTTAACCTCTTTAAGGTATACAGTGGTGATTTCAGCATGTAGTGGTAACAAGGGAACTTTTATTCCCTGAATAACAATAAACATTTTGATGAAGATTGATCAACATAATAGTTGCTTTTGAAGCAATATAAAAATGTGAATGTTGTAGGTATACACAGATGTTACTTTACATGATGTAGATATTGCAGTGCTGTCTCCTTTCATCTATATAGCATTTCAAATATGGCAACATCACTTTATACAATATAGATATCCCTGCTACAGAGATATCAGACTCAAGATACATTCATCAACTATGGTAACTTGAATATGAAATAAGTTTAAATGTGTGTAAAAAAAAAAAAATCAAACCGCCAAAAATTAAGACTGTGTCTGGTAACAAACCCGTCTGTATGGCTTTTCAACTGAAGTTATTACAAATTCTATTTCATAGTCCAGTAATAAGTTCATTGTTGATATTTGGTCAGAGTGTAAGTGCTGACCACTAAGGCAGGATCAATCCATTAACAACCTTTTATGATGTATTGTGCTGGTAATATCACAGGTAATGTATTTCTTATATCCGCCCTCCCTCCCAGAAGGCCTGAGGTTTTCCATGTTACAACAATTAATACCTTGCTATGTCTGTGTCATGTTCCCAGTAATTAGACTCAAATGTTGATAACAGGTAAAAATATTACAGGTAAATAACATTTGCAAAAAGAGGATATCTATTCCAAAATATTGTATCAAAATATATTCTCAAATCAATGATAAAAATCAAGTGATCATACAAAAATAATTTGAAAGACTTCATTTTTCAAACAATTTTTTGTATTAACTATAATTCCTCACGGAGGGATTTGTCTGTACTGCTCTCTTGACCAGTTTCACTGGGGCTGGACAAACTATCGAGAATTTTACGAGCTTGAGTCCTTGCGAGTTCTTTGTAGTTAGGATCCAGTGTGTACCACATTGCTACAGCACACCTCTGACCTTTGGTAACACTGTTAACACCATGAAGGTGGGCAGCATTAAAGCCCACGATTCGTCCACACTTTGGGCTGAGAGTAACCTGTTAACAGGAGATAACACATCAAACAGATATCAACACTTCGCCTTAATTGTTCATGAAAGTAATCATATCCAAGTCAAAACTCCCTTCATCTGTTCATCAACAAAAGAAAAACAAATGAAAATCAAATTGATGATTTCTTGCTAATTAAACATGAAAAACATCAGCACAGATATTGAAATAAAATCGTTAACACTGATATGGACCAAGAAGTCCCAGTCATCATTAAGTCTGTGTTCATCATACTTACATCAGCACTCGTGTTGGAATGAGCAAAGAAAAATTCTCCACCTTCAAAATCATCATTGAGATACATGATGGCACTGAAAGTATACAAAAATCTAAGATTAGTACTTGTAACTGTGGTATAACTCAGTGATGTGTTTAATCCTGATGTAACAGTGATGTGTTTAACCCTGATGTAACACAGTGATGTGTTAAACCCTGATGTAACTCAGTGTTTAACCCTGAATTAACTCAGTGGTGTGTTTAACCCTGATGTAACACAGTGATGTGTTTAACCCAGATGTAACACAGTGATGTGTGTAACCCAGATGTAACACAGTGATGTGTTTAACCCTGATGTAACACAGTGATGTGTTAAACCCTGATGTAACTCAGTGATGTGTTTAACCCTGATGTAACTCAGTGATGTGTTAAACCCTGATGTAACTCAGTGTTTAACCCTGAATTAACTCAGTGGTGTGTTTAACCCTGATATAACAGTGGTGTGTTTAACCCTGGTGTAACTCAGTGGTGTATTTTTAACCCTGATGTAACTCAGTGGTGTGTTTAACCCTGATGTAACTCAGTGGTGTGTTTAACCCTGATGTAACACAGTGTTTAACCCTGATGTAATTCAGTGGTGTGTTTAACCCTGATGTAACACAGTGTTTAACCCTGATGTAACTCAGTGGTGTGTTTAACCCTGATGTAACACAGTGTTTAACCCTGATGTAACAAAGTGTTTAACCCTGATGTAACAAAGTGTTTAACCCTGATGTAACAAAGTGTTTAACTCTGATGTAACAAATGTTTAACCCTGATGTAACAAAGTGTTTAACCCTGATGTAACAAAGTGTTTAACCCTGATGTAACACAGTGTTTAACCCTGATGTAACAAAGTGTTTAACTCTGATGTAACAAAGTGTTTAACCCTGATGTAACACAGTGTTTAACCCTGATGTAATTCAGTGGTGTGTTTAACCCTGATGTAACAAAGTGTTTAACCCTGATGTAACAAAGTGTTTAACCCTGATGTAACAAAGTGTTTAACTCTGATCTAACAAAGTGTTTAACCCTGATGTAACAAAGTGTTTAACCCTGATGTAACACAGTGTTTAACCCTGATGTAATTCAGTGGTGTGTTTAACCCTGATGTAACAAAGTGTTTAACCCTGATGTAACAAAGTGTTTAACCCTGATGTAACACAGTGTTTAACCCTGATGTAACAAAGTGTTTAACTCTGATGTAACAAAGTGTTTAACCCTGATGTAACACAGTGTTTAACCCTGATGTAATTCAGTGGTGTGTTTAACCCTGATGTAACACAGTGTTTAACCCTGATGTAACTCAGTGGTGTGTTTAACCCTGATGTAACACAGTGTTTAACCCTGATGTAACAAAGTGTTTAACCCTGATGTAACAAAGTGTTTAACCCTGATGTAACACAGTGTTTAACCCTGATGTAACAAAGTGTTTAACCCTGATGTAACAAAGTGTTTAACCCTGATGTAACAAAGTGTTTAACCCTGATGTAACAAAGTGTTTAACTCTGATGTAACACAGTGTTTAACCCTGATGTAATTCAGTGGTGTGTTTAACCCTGATGTAACAAAGTGTTTAACCCTGATGTAACAAAGTGTTTAACCCTGATGTAACACAGTGTTTAACCCTGATGTAACAAAGTGTTTAACCCTGATGTAACAAAGTGTTTAACCCTGATGTAACACAGTGTTTAACCCTGATGTAATTCAGTGGTGTGTTTAACCCTGATGTAACACAGTGTTTAACCCTGATGTAACTCAGTGGTGTGTTTAACCCTGATGTAACACAGTGTTTAACCCTGATGTAACAAAGCGTTTAACCCTGATGTAACACAGTGTTTAACCCTGATGTAACAAAGTGTTTAACTCTGATGTAACAGTGTTTAACCCTGATGTAACAAAGTGTTTAACTCTGATGTAACAAAGTGTTTAACCCTGATGTAACAGTGTTTAACCCTGATGTAACAAGGTGTTTAACCCTGATGTAACAAAGTGTTTAACCCTGATGTAACAGTGTTTAACCCTGATGTAACAAAGTGTTTAACCCTGATGTAACAAAGTGTTTAACCCTGATGTAACAGTGTTTAACCCTGATGTAACAAAGTGTTTAACTCTGATGTAACAAAGTGTTTAACCCTGATGTAACAGTGTTTAACCCTGATGTAACAAAGTGTTTAACCCTGATGTAACAAAGTGTTTAACCCTGATGTAACAGTGTTTAACCCTGATGTAACAAAGTGTTTAACCCTGATGTAACAAAGTGTTTAACCCTGATGTAACACAGTGTTTAACCCTGATGTAACAAAGTGTTTAACCCTGATGTAACAGTGTTTAACCCTGATGTAACAAAGTGTTTAACCCTGATGTAACAAAGTGTTTAACCCTGATGTAACACAGTGTTTAACCCTGATGTAATTCAGTGGTGTGTTTAACCCTGATGTAACACAGTGTTTAACCCTGATGTAACTCAGTGGTGTGTTTAACCCTGATGTAACACAGTGTTTAACCCTGATGTAACAAAGCGTTTAACCCTGATGTAACACAGTGTTTAACCCTGATGTAACAAAGTGTTTAACTCTGATGTAACAGTGTTTAACCCTGATGTAACAAAGTGTTTAACTCTGATGTAACAAAGTGTTTAACCCTGATGTAACAGTGTTTAACCCTGATGTAACAAGGTGTTTAACCCTGATGTAACAAAGTGTTTAACCCTGATGTAACAGTGTTTAACCCTGATGTAACAAAGTGTTTAACCCTGATGTAACAAAGTGTTTAACCCTGATGTAACAGTGTTTAACCCTGATGTAACAAAGTGTTTAACTCTGATGTAACAAAGTGTTTAACCCTGATGTAACAGTGTTTAACCCTGATGTAACAAGGTGTTTAACCCTGATGTAACAAAGTGTTTAACCCTGATGTAACAGTGTTTAACCCTGATGTAACAAAGTGTTTAACCCTGATGTAACACAGTGTTTAACCCTGATGTAACAAAGTGTTTAACCCTGATGTAACACAGTGTTTAACCCTGATGTAACAAAGTGTTTAACCCTGATGTAACAGTGTTTAACCCTGATGTAACAAAGTGTTTAACCCTGATGTAACAAAGTGTTTAACCCTGATGTAACACAGTGTTTAACCCTGATGTAACAAAGTGTTTAACCCTGATGTAACAAAGTGTTTAACCCTGATGTAACAAAGTGTTTAACCCTGATGTAACACAGTGTTTGACCCTGATGTAACAGTGTTTGACCCTGATGTAACACAGTGTTTAACTCTGATGTAACATGGTGGTGTATTTGACCCTGATGTGTTTAATCCTTATGTAGTTAACAAAGTAATAATTACATGTTGCCCTTCATCATATCATTTGAAAAATCTAAAGACAGATATTTTCTTGTATCATCCTAGGTATCTGTGTTGTCTGCAACCAATTATTTGACTTACAGTATAAATCAGTGAAAATATCCATACTGACAATATCATATCACCCTATCAAGTCAAGCCACTATATCGCTTCTGTACCTGTAGACATCTTACCTGTAATCTCGCTGGACAAAGGCAGGGAAAGCACGTACACAGGTGCCATCATTGATGTTGAGTTGACAGTTATCGCCGTGGACAGGGTGACTTAGATCTTTACGCCCAGCTTGTACACCTACAAAACAGTAAATAATAAATTCCGTTTGGTTTATTGTTGCTTTATGTCCTATTAACAGCCAAAAACATCAAAATAATATCAACACGTCAACATAATCATAATCCAAACTCAAATTCCATAAAACTAGTGCAAAATATAAACAAAAGAAAGGTTTACACAGAAACTCCTAAAAAAGTACAAGGGGAATCAGACCAGGTGTTCCAGAAAGGTAAGCATCATTTAAGGATGTGCCATGTTTGGGTGTTAGAAAAGCAGAGTGCCTGAAGACTGACAAACATAGGCCTCAAACTCCTGATGACCCAGAGGTTATTTCCAGTGGGAAATAACAAACGTTAAGCTCAAAAATGAAATTTTTCTAGGAAAAGCACAGTGAAGTCTAAAAAACTCTTCATCCCCAGAAAGAAATATGCGTCTCATTTTAGTTATCAAGCACCTTAAGATGCTTCTATTCAAGAGCATTTATTGAAGTTGAAAATGTTAAATTGTTTACAGATGCACGATACCAGATGAAGGAAATTGCAATAGGTCACCATGAGAATGTCTCAGGGGACCTAAAAATCCCTAGCTCTTCAATATGATGACAACATTTTTATTAGTAGGCTAAGGATGACTACCTTCTACAGCTGTGCGACACACAAGATGGGTGAAGTCGAAGTGGAGTGGCTTTGTAAGGTTGAAAAACTTCTCCACAAACAGACGACTACGTTCACTGGCACTGAGGTAAAGTTCCACTGATTCTTTGCTCACTGCTCCACTCTTTGCCAGCTACAAATTACATGTAAGAAGGTATAACACAGGAGTTACCTTTCTTATACTTTACTCACCTTTGGAAAGTTTTCAGAGTACTCATGTTGCTTATACTTGTAATACTCCAAAAGTTTGATAACAATGTACAGGTTATTTGTGTGTAAACAAATGTAATATAAAGAAAAATGATTTTCATTTCAGTAAAATTTATTTTGGAATAAATAAACAACAAAGAAAAAAAATGACAAAACAATACGAAACTATTAATATCATTACATTTAAGAATAAAATAAACTAAAATTTTAAAAAAGTCCAGAACAGACAAAAGCAGTGATGTATAGAATAAACAAAAAAAACCCTGATCACCATTTAGTTTAAATGTAATGGGAAAAAAACATGCAGTTATCTCCCTTGGACTACTTCTTTATCAATTATACCAGTCCTTTTCTCATCTTATACTTTTCCACTAACTAACCCCACAGATAAAAAAAAAAGTACTCCATGTCATTTACATCACTTGTAAATGCCGTCACTATATAATGATCAAGAGAAATCACTATGGATGATACAAAATAATTTCTCTTATTTATATATGTATGTTCACATTGTTTAGAATTTACTTTAACATACTTACCACATATTGAAATATACAGGAAAATTAAAATTTACTATCATCTTTTCTGTTATGAGAATAATTAATTAAATCATCTTCTTGTCCAAATTTAGTTCACCTGACAGTATAATATTGACTCATAGGTTTACATTACTTTGTTGTCCTCCATTTTTCTTGTGAAAGAAATAGAAAAGCCTTTTAAGAACCTTATCTTCATAAAAACTTTGAAGATATGGTTCAAATGAAGCTCTCTTTTCCTCAGATATTCTTTTTCTAAGTGTTTGAATAAAGCAACAAAACTCAATTGATATTAATTTTCCATTTTTGTGCAGTAAAGTTTCAATGAAAATGTAAATGTACAATGTTTTATAAATCCTTAAATAATAAGAAAAAACAAATCAATACATTACAAGTATTTCTAACATTTAAAATGACAGCCTTACAAACCTTCATGGCACGGCGAATTGTGAGTCCCTCAAATATCTCACTGTCTGTATGAGGAGATATCGCCACAGCTTCAAAATTGTCTTTCTCGTTGTACCCATCACCGATTATAGCTCCATTCTAGTGAGGAGAACCGCATGCAAGTCAGTCTATACTGATTATAGTATGGTATAAACTTCCCCAAGTTGTATCCATGCATAAAAACACCTAGTGAAATACATGTGCAGTGTGTGAACCATGTTGTGAGAGCTAGAAATGTGAAATGGGGTCTCCTTTGTTACAAATTTTATCCTGAAATAAGACAGAGTGGCTAACATTTTATTTCTAATTACCTGAAAATGAAATAGTGCTTTTGGGTGGAGGGAAGAGAAGGGGTGGGGGGGGTTTGTTTACTGGGTATAATACCACATATATATACACATATACAGGTAATTAGTAAGTAAGGAGGGGGGGGGAGTTGTTTACTGGGTATAATACCACATATATATACACATATACAGGTAATTAGTAAGTAAGGAGGGGGGGAGGGTGTTTGTACACATATACAGGTAATTAGTAAGTAAAATATATAAAGTGCATAAAAAGTGATATAAAAATGATTAACATGTATACACAAAAATCAATAAAGCTGTATTTTATGATCTTTTTTTTAAAATAACAAAATTAAAGTTGATTGAAAAAGTTAACATAAAGATAAACAAAGGTAAAGATGTCCAGCACCAAAAAATGTCAAATAAATACCCCACTAGATTTGTTGATTCAAAACTTTTCAAAAATGTATTACTAAATGTACAGTAAAACACGTTTACAACCCCAAACCACACCAATAATAAACAACACATACACCACACACATATATATACACTACCCCACCCTAACAACACATAAACAACACATACACCACAAACATATATATACACTACATTACTCCACTCCAACTCAACAACACATACACCACACATTTATATATACACTATCCCACCCCAACAATACATATACAACACATACAACACACATATATATACACTACCCTACCCCAACAACACAAACAACACATACACCACACATATATATACACTACCCCACCCCAACAACACATACAGAACACATATAACACACATATATATACACTACCCCACCCCAACAACACATACAGAACACATTCAACACACATATATATACACTACCCCACCCCAACAACACATATACAACACATACAACACACACTTATATATACACTACTCCACCCCAACCCAACAACACATACAGAACACATACACTACACACATTTATATATACATACACTACCCCACCCCAACTCAACAACACATACAGAACACATACAACACACACACACATATATACATACACTACCCCACCCTAACTCAACAACACATACAGAACACATACACAACACACATATATATACACCACCCCACCCCAACCCAACAACACATATACAACACATACACCACACACATATACATATACTACCCAATCCCATCAACTAACAGCACACAAGAGAACACATACACCAAACACCTAAACACATACAACACCATCAACAACACAAACACCATCCACAACACAGAACACCATCCACAACACAAACACCATCCACAACACAAACACCATCAACAACACAAACACCATCCACAACACAAACACCATCCACAACACCGAACACCATCCACAAGACAGAATACCATCAACAACACATACAACACCATCCACAACACACCCAACACCATCCACAACACACACAATGCCATCCACAACACACACAACACCATCCACAACACATACACCATCCACAACACACAACACCATCCACAACACAAACACCATCCACAACACAGAACACCATCCACAACACAAACACCATCCACAACACACAACACCATCCACAACACAAACACCATCCACAACACAAACACCATCAACAACACAAACACCATCCACAACACAAACACCATCCACAACACAGAACACCATCCACAAGACAGAATACCATCAACAACACATACAACACCATCCACAACACACCCAACACCATCCACAACACACACAATACCATCCACAACACACACAACACCATCCACAACACATACACCATCCACAACACACAACACCATCCACAACACAAACACCATCCACAACACAGAACACCATCCACAACAAAGAACACCATCCACAACACAGAACACCATCCACAACACAAACACCATCCACAACACAGAACACCGTCCACAACACAAACACCATCCACAACACAGAACACCATCCACAACACAAACACCATCCACAACACAAAACACCATCCACAACACACAACACCATCCACAACACAAAAACCATCCACAACACCATCCACAACACAGAACACCATCCACAACAAAGAACACTATCCACAACACACAACACCATCCACAACACACAACACCATACACAACACACAACACCATCCACAACACATACAACACCATCAACAACACAAAAACCATCCACAACACAGAACACCATCCACAACACAGAACACCATCTACAAAACACACACACACAAAAAAACAACATATAAACTACCGATACATCCCAGTAATGATGTCTTGTTAAGAAACACAAAAAATTGTTCTATTGTTGATAAACGTGTTTTACTGGTTTATGACCGACACCAGACTATACATATTAGCCGTCCTTATATACGTGTGCTGTAATACCTCTGCTGCAAGAGTCACATTCAGTCCTCTGAATATCTCTCGTTTGGTGTGAGGACTAGCTCTCTGATACCCATCATCAACAATACTTTCCTTCAGTAAAATCAGAAATCAACCTAAGTCATTTAAGCTGAGGAACTTTCTGAACAAGTAGTCAATTCTAACTGTTTTAATACAAACTTTGTATTTTCATGCTCTTCAGTATAATTCACAATATTTATTTATATATGGATTTATAGAAATATTTATTCTTTTGTTTTATTATAAAAATGACATTAACAATGTTTTCTTTCACTTTTTTTTATCTATCATCTTGGAGAGGAATTAAAGAATGATAGGAACACTAAATCTAATCGTCAGAATAATACTGTAAACAAACTTCACAAAAAGTGGGGGAGAGGGGGGTGTGTGTTTTGTTGATGTTCTTGATTGTTTTGTTTGTTATTTTTTTGTTTAACTTATCTAAATAAAGCTGAATAAAAATACTGGAATGGGACATAAAAATTGTAATATGTCCATAAGATATGTTGAAATACTACCATTATTTAACAATCTGGATGCTTAAATACTGTCTCATTTTCTAGAATAATATTGATGACATCAATGCAACTGTGGACAGGAAACCATCTGGTGTGACAGAGTTTTAGCAATTAGTTCATCTTTCATTTCAGATCATTTCATTGTCATGATTGTACTGACAATGAAATACAGTCAAACAGAAGACCAAACTCTCTATATCTGATTGGTACCTTTGCCAGTTCGATGAGGGTAGAACAAGCTTCCTCGTCTATCAGCCCATCTGCTATTACTCTCTCATTACTGTGAAGTTCCTCATTAGCCAGGACTACAGTTGTACCTTTATAATATTCACAAGTTTCGGGCAGAATTCAGTATCATTTTCAAGCTTGGTTATAAAGTATTTCTATAAGGAATACATTTACAGACAAAAACTTTGTGAGAGACAAATGTGAATCAACATATTAAAAGGTTGGATACTAAGTTTTATGATGAAGTTGAAATGTATGGTTTATACTGTGTAGGGCAAATATTTCCGTGCACATAGCTAATTAGTAATAGAAAATTAAAAAAACAAATACTCTTGACAAAAAAAATGAAATGAAACTAGAAAATGTCTGTATGATATGAAAGTTCTTACTACTATGCAAACAACAGTCTGATCGGGTGTAGAATCTGATGTTAGGATTTTATAAACCAAATCTGTTATGATGTTCTCAAGATGTGATATTAATTCGGCACGGGATGTTGATAGAACATACAACCATAGGTTATACTGTAATACCTCCATAACAATGTCAAGTCTTTCCTTTCACTCTAAATCATTAACAAATATGATATAGCACATTTATCTATTGACTGGGTTTTTCCTGTTATTACATCCTTTCTCCCGACAAATTGTAAATTCTCCATCAAGACTTACCTTCTGTTTCAAACTTCTTAAGAATGGCAGTATTGTTGTTGGCCATTCTTTGATCCTCTAGATCAAATAGGAAGGCCTTGGCTTTACGAAGAAGAGGGTTGTCATGGCGACGATCTGAGGTATATGTTACAATCGTAGCACATCTTTGTGTCTCTGATGGAATGATTCCATGTCTGTCCGAGGCTTCAAAACCTACCAGATGTCCACATTTTACACTACCAGGCAACAATGACGACTGAAATACGAGACAACAGTAAAGGTTTTGATGTGTTTGTATTTCCAGGTTATTGTTACTGATGTTGTAATTGGAGGGAATACCATTCACACTTCAGCCATGGACACCTTATAGGATCTGACTAAACACATTCAGACTTCAGCCATGGACACCTTATAGGATCTGACTAAACACATTCAGACTTCAGTCATAGACACCTTATAGGATCTGACTAAACACATTCAGACTTCAGTCATAGACACCTTATAGGATCTGATTAAACACATTCAGACGTCAGCCATAGACACCTTATAGGATCTGACTAAACACATTCAGACTTCAGCCATAGACACCTTATAGGATCTGACTAAACACATTCAGACTTCAGTCATAGACACCTTATAGGATCTGACTAAACACATTCAGACTTCAGTCATAGACACCTTATAGGATCTGACTAAACACATTCAGACTTCAGTCATAGACACCTTATAGGATCTGACTAACACACATTCTAAACACTTCAGTCATAGACACCTTATAGGATCTGACTAAACACATTCAGACTTCAGTCATGGAGACCTTATAGGATCTGACTAAACACATTCAGACTTCAGTCATGGAGACCTTATAGGATCTGACTAAACACATTCAGACTTCAGTCACAGACACCTTATAGGATCTGACTAAACACATTCAGACTTCAGTCATGGAGACCTTATAGGATCTGACTAAACACATTCAGACTTCAGCCATAGACACCTTATAGGATCTGACTAAACACATTCAGACTTCAGTCATGGAGACCTTATAGGATCTGACTAAACACATTCAGACTTCAGTCATAGACACCTTATAGGATCTGACTAAACACATTCAGACTTCAGTCATAGACACCTTATAGGATCTGACTAAACACATTCAGACTTCAGTCATGGACACCTTATAGGATCTGATTAACACATTCAGACAGTCATGGAGACCTTATATCTGACTAAACACACACCTCATAGACACCTTATAGGATCTGACTAAACACATTCAGACTTCAGTCATAGACACCTTATAGGATCTGACTAAACACATTCAGATCTGACTAAAACATTCATTCAGCCATGGACACCTTATAGGATCTAAACACATTCAGACTTCAGTCATAGACACCTTATAGGATCTGACTAAACACATTCAGACTTCAGTCATAGACACCTTATAGGATCTGACTAAACACATTCAGACTTCAGTCATGGAGACCTTATAGGATCTGACTAAACACATTCAGACTTCAGTCATGGAGACCTTATAGGATCTGACTAAACACATTCAGACTTCCGTCATAGACACCTTATAGGATCTGACTAAACACATTCAAACTTCAGTCATGGACACCTTATAGGATCTGACTAAACACATTCAGACTTCAGTCATAGACACCTTATAGAATCTGACTATACACATTCAGACTTCAGTCATAGACACCTTATAGGATCTGACTAAACACATTCAGACTTCAGTCATAGACACCTTATAGGATCTGACTAAACACATTCAGATCTGACTAAACACATTCAGACTTCAGCCATGGACACCTTATAGGATCTGATTAACACATTCAGACTTCAGTCATAGACACCTTATAGGATCTGACTAAACACATTCAGACTTCAGTCATAGACACCTTATAGGATCTGACTAAACACATTCAGACTTCAGTCATAGACACCTTATAGGATCTGACTAAACACATTCAGACTTCAGCCATAGACACCTTATAGAATTTGACTAAACACATTCAGACTTCAGTCATGGAGACCTTATAGGATCTGACTAAACACATTCAGACTTCAGTCATAGACACCTTATAGGATCTGACTAAACACATTCAGACTTCAGTCATGGAGACCTTATAGGATCTGACTAAACACATTCAGACGTCAGCCATAGACACCTTATAGGATCTGACTATACACATTCAGACTTCAGTCATAGACACCTTATAGGATCTGACTAAACACATTCAGATCTGACTAAACACATTCAGACTTCAGCCATGGACACCTTATAGGATCTGACTAAACACATTCAGACTTCAGCCATAGACACCTTATAGGATCTGACTAAACACATTCAGATCTGACTAAACACATTCAGACTTCAGCCATAGACACCTTATAGGATCTGACTAAACACATTCAGACTTCAGTCATAGACACCTTATAGGATCTGACTAAACACATTCAGATCTGACTAAACACATTCAGACTTCAGTCATAGACACCTTATAGGATCTGACTAAACACATTCAGACTTCAGTCATAGACACCTTATAGGATCTGACTAAACACATTCAGATCTGACTAAACACATTCAGACTTCAGCCATGGACACCTTATAGGATCTGACTAAACACATTCAGACTTCAGCCATAGACACCTTATAGGATCTGACTAAACACATTCAGATCTGACTAAACACATTCATACTTCAGTCATAGACACCTTACAGGATCTGACTAAACACATTCAGACTTCAGTCATGGAGACCTTATAGGATCTGACTAAACACATTCAGACTTTAGAAATGGAGACCTTACAGGATCTGACTAAACACATTCAGACTTTAGACATGGTGATATTATAGAATCTGACTATAATTAAAGTTATCATACTTGGCTCGAAGTTGTGGCTTATCTTAACTGAAACTGGAAAGCTCGTTACCAAACTTTGTTATAGCGTTTGTTCGTATGTTCCTTCTATTGAACTATAATAGATATGGATGGGCCTATTGGAATAGTTTATTACGGACTCATTATGTACCATGATAATACACTCTTTGGTGTTAGTTAGGTCTTGTTCTGAATCTGGTGTTTATAGCTCCATCTGGAAAATTAATTTTCTAAGTTCAATAAATATAGAAATAGCAGTGATGTCTGAAACTCCTCATCACAATCTGCTTCTAATTTTCAGTTGTTATTTTTTCATAAAGACCAAACTCACCTGTTTTCTATTCCACCTGTCTAGAAAATAGAGTCCGCTGTCTTCATTTTCAGTGAGGTAAGCCACGCTCCTGTATAAGGCAGATAAGAATCAGATTTCACTACAACAGCACACAGCTTGTCAGGTACCAGGTATTGTTTTTATTTTTTAATGTTGGTTTCAGAAAAAAAGTCTAAATGACTTTTCACTGATATATAGTTTATCACCAAAATACTTTGTTGAATTCCTGATTTCCGTTGTGAGGGCCTCAGCTCTAAGTTTGAAAAAGTAAGGGATAGCTTACGTGTAATCATTGGTGTTATTCTGTATTTCTGTATCATCCACACACTGCCCTGACTCCTGGGGGGTACAGGGAGCCTGGCTGTCACCTAGTGATATAGAGATATATATAATAAAACTGGAGTCTCCCTGACTCCTGGGGGGTACAGGGAGCCTGGCTGTCACCTAGTGATATAGAGATATATATAATAAAACTGGAGTCTCCCTGACTCCTGGGGGGTACGGGGAGCCTGGCTGTCACCTAGTGATATAGAGATATATATAATAAAACTGGAGTCTCCCTGACTCCTGGGGGGTACGGGGAGCCTGGCTGTCACCTAGTGATATAGAGATATATATAATAAAACTGGAGTCTCCCTGACTCCTGGGGGGTACGGGGAGCCTGGCTGTCACCTAGTGATATAGATATATATATAATAAAACTGGAGTCTCCCTGACTCCTGGGGGGTACAGGGAGCCTGGCTGTCACCTAGTGATATAGAGATATATATAATAAAACTGGAGTCTCCCTGACTCCTGGGGGGTACGGGGAGCCTGGCTGTCACCTAGTGATATAGATATATATATAATAAAACTGGAGCCTCCCTGACTCCTGGGGGGTACAGGGAGCCTGGCTGTCACCTAGTGATATAGAGATATATATAATAAAACTGGAGCCTCCCTGACTCCTGGGGGGTACAGGGAGCCTGGCTGTCACCTAGTGATATAGAGATATATATAATAAAATTGGAGTCTCCCTGACTCCTGGGGGGTACAGGGAGCCTGGCTGTCACCTAGTGATATACATATTATAATAAACTGGAGTCTCCCCGACTCCCTAGGGATACAAGGATTGGCTGTTACCTAGTGATATAGACATATATATAATAAAACTGGAGTCTCCCTGACTCCCTAGAGATACAAGGATTGGCTGTTACCTAGTGATAAAGATATATATATAATAAAACTGGAGTCTCCCCGACTCCCTAAGGATACAAGGATTGACTGTCACCTAGTTTTCCTGACTACCCAGGGATACAAGGACACTGATCCTCTATCATGTGTCTCAAGCCCCTTGATCTTCTTCTGAAGGGAAGGACACAAGAATGCTAGTCATTTCCTGAGTGACACAAGCATCCTGGTCCTTTCCTGAGGGACAAAAATATCCAAGTTCTCTCCTACAGTATGCAAAGATACTTGTACTTTCCTGGGAGTACCCTAGCTGTCTCTTAGTGGTACAAACATAATGACCTGTCCTCGTAAACTGATTTAATATCATAGTTGAGGAAAATGATATAATTCCAAAATACACTATATCAATTGTCCATTCTGTTTGTAATACTAGTAAATATTAATTGCACATTAATGATTGGTTGAGCATGAGATAAATATGCCAAGAGGTCCTACATTCAATTCTTAGAGGGAAATATATGAAAACATAATGACAGCAGTTTACAGAGCTGGAAAACCCTGTTCTCTGGTAATCATCTCCAAACATAAATGAAATTGTCTATTCAGTGAATTATTCAGTAAAACAAGCTCTAAACCACAGGATTACTGCAGACCAACAGGATTCTGGTATATACCATTGTCTACTGGTTCCCTACAGACAAGTTTGACATCTTTGATGAAGAATTCAGTTTTGTTGAAGAAGCGCCCAGTGTAATGTCGTGTTATCTCAGAGGTCTTCAATAATGTCCGAAGGGCCATCTCATATTCAACCTCTTCCTCCACAAGCTGTAAATACAAGTTAAATACAGGTAAAATGAAACCAAGATTGACTTTAGATTGGTATAAATAATGTTCTCCTGATGGCAGAGACCACAGTGGTATTGATAAGTCTGATGGCTCAAAGGTTTTAAAAATAATTTAACATTTCATAATATCTGTTTTGATTTCATGATTAAAAACCTTGTTAATAAGCCACGATAAAACCAGTAGGGTAGTAGTATGGTCATGAAGCACCTGTAATTCAGGAAAAAGCAGGACAAGTTTTTATCTTCTCAATCAAAAAATACTCTGGTCTCAAGAAATTATAATCTGAAATATACCTCATAATATAAAGAATGATTAAATGATAAAAAATCTTTAATGGACAATGTGCATGAATAATTTTGGTTCTTAAATTAATATTCAATATTTTTGTAAATAGTTAAGTTACCTCCAGTGCCTCAGCTACAGAAAGTTGTCTGATACCGTGTTTGTCCGGAGTTACTGACTGTAAAAACAACACACCATAAGCAATGAATAATACAGAAACTGGGTGAAATATATCTAAATCAAACTCATTTCTTCTTAGCCATATTATCACAGACACTAAAGGATATTTTCTTAAACAAAGTATAACCAGCATCTATTTCTAAGACTTTCAAAACAAAGTGTTAGGCAGCTGAGTGTTTATGGTTGATCAGAATCTCTGTAATTGACATGGTAATTTGTTTTTAAATTCATTTATGCAATAAAACAACTAATTTTGTTTAAAAATCTTGAGCGACCCAAAAAGGGAAACTTGATTACAAAGACAATCACAACAATATGGTTAAAGTATATTAAACACAGCATCGGAAATCAGCAAATGGTTTGACCAACTGATAGAATGTCTTAGTGTTTTAAAAACAATTGTAAAGTAGAAAGTATTTCTGAGATCTACAATGGTAGCTTCTGTTAAAGTAGAATGTATTTCTGAGATCTATAATGATAGCTTCTGTTAAAGTAGAATGTATTTCTGAGATCTACAATGGTAGCTTCTGTTAAAGTAGAAAGTATTTCCGAAATCTATAATGATAGCTGTTAAAGTAGAATGTATTTCTGAGATCTACCATGGTAGCTTACGTTAAAGTAGAATGTATTTCTGAGATCTATAATGATAGCTTCTGTTAAAGTAGAATGTATTTCCGAGATCTATAATGATAGCTTCTGTTAAAGTAGAAAGTATTTCTGAGATCTATAATGATAGCTTCTGTTAAAGTAGAAAGTATTTCTGAGATCTATAATGATAGCTTCTGTTAAAGTAGAATGTATTTCTGAGATCTATAATGATAGCTTCTGTTAAAGTAGAATGTATTTCTGAGATCAATGATAGCTTCAATGATAGCTTCTGTTAAAGTAGAATGTATTTCTGAGATCTATACAAGCTTCTGTTAAAGTAGCTTCTGTTAAAGTAGAATGTATTTCTGAGATCTACAATATGTAGCTTCTGTTAAAGTAGAAAGTATTTCTGAGATCTACAATAAGCTTAGTTAAAGAATGTATTTCTGAGATCTATAATGATAGCTTCTGTTAAAGTAGAATGTATTTCTGAGCAATGATAGCTTCTGTTAAAGTAGAATGTATTTCTGAGATCTAGCAATTCTGTTAAATATAGCTTCTGTTAAAGTAGCTTCTGTTAAAAGAATGTATTTCTGAGATCTACAATAGTAGCTTCTGTTAAAGTAGAATGTATTTCTGAGATCTACCATGGTAGCTTACGTTAAAGTAGAATGTATTTCTGAGATCTATAATGATAGCTTCTGTTAAAGTAGAATGTATTTCTGAGAATAGTCTTTAAAGTAGAATGTATTTCTGAGATAATGTAGCTTCTGTTAAAGTAGAATGTATTTCCGAGATCTATAATGATAGCTTCTGTTAAAGTAGAATGTATTTCTGAGATCTACAATGATAGCTTCTGTTAAAGTAGAATGTATTTCTGAGATCTATAATGATAGCTTCTGTTAAAGTAGAATGTATTTCTGAGATCTACAATAGTAGCTTATGTTAAAGTAGAATGTATTTCTGAGATCTATAATGATAGCTTCTGTTAAAGTAGAATGTATTTCTGAGATCTACAATGATAGCTTCTGTTAAAGTAGAATGTATTTCTGAGATCTACAATGAATAGAATGTAGCTTCTGTTAAAGTAGAATGTATTTCTGAGTATTTCTGAGATCTATAATGATAACTTCTGTTAAAGTAGAATGTATTTCTGAGATCTACAATAGCAGCTTATGTTAAAGTAGAATGTATTTCTGAGATCTATAATGATAGCTTCTGTTAAAGTAGAATGTATTTCTGAGATCTACAATTGTAGTTTCTGTTAAAGTAGAATGTATTTCTGAGATCTACCATGGTAGCTTATGTTAAAGTAGAATGTATTTCTGAGATCTACAATGATAGCTGTTAAAGTAGAATGTATTTCTGAGATCTACAATAGTAGCTTATGTTAAAGTAGAAAGTATTTCTGAGATCTATAATGATAGCTTCTGTTAAAGTAGAATGTATTTCTGAGATCTACAATGATAGCTTCTGTTAAAGTAGAATGTATTTCTGAGATCTACAATGATAGCTTCTGTTAAAGTAGAATGTATTTCTGAGATCTACAATGATAGCTTCTGTTAAAGTAGAATGTATTTCTGAGATCTACAATAGTAGCTTATGTTAAAGTAGAATGTATTTCTGAGATCTACAATGATAGCTGTTAAAGTAGAAAGTATTTCTGAGATCTATAATGATAGCTTCTGTTAAAGTAGAATGTATTTCTGAGATCTACAATAGTAGCTTATGTTAAAGTAGAATGTATTTCTGAGATCTATAATGATAGCTTCTGTTAAAGTAGAATGTATTTCCGAGATCTATAATGATAGCTGTTAAAGTAGAATGTATTTCTGAGATATACAATGATAGCTTCTGTTAAAGTAGAATGTATTTCTGAGATCTACAATGATAGCTGTTAAAGTAGAATGTATTTCTGAGATATACAATGATAGCTTCTGTTAAAGTATAGTGTATTTCTGAGATCTGCAATAAATAGTAACTTGTGTGAAAATACAAAGAATTTCTGACATCTTTGATGGTAAATTCTGTGAAAATAGAATGTATTTCTGAGATCTACAATGATAGCTTCTGTTAAAATAGAATGTATTTCTGAGATCTTTGATGGTAAATTCTGTTAAAATAGAATGTATATCTGAGAGCAGGAATGGTTACTTTGCCATCTTTTGTACTACAGTACTTACATTTATCATGTACAACAGCTCTATGCACTGTCCCTCTCGTGTAAAACCCTTTGATATAAATCTAGGTCCTTTTAAGCTATCTTGATCCTGTAGAAACTTCATGCCAATCTTCTCAAAGATCTTCAGGTTGAATTCCTGTTTGTCTTGTGCTTTTATAATATCCACCTCAGGGTCCTCTATGAGCTGTAAAAAATATAACAAGTTTGGTCCCAGTATATATATTGTGAGTTGTCTGTCTCATTCATGTAAAAGGTATTGTCTGTCCCAGTTTATATATTGTGGGTTGTCAGTCCCAGTTTATATATTGTGGGTTTTCTGTCCTACTTTATGTCATAGGAGCTGTCTGTCCCAGTTTATATATTGTGGGTTGTCTGTCCTACTTTATGTCATGGGAGCTGTCTGTCCCAGTTTATATATTGTGGGTTGTCTGTCCTACTTTATGTCATGGGAGCTGTCTGTCCCAGTTTATATATTGTGGGTTGTCTGTCCTACTTTATGTCATGGGAGCTGTCTGTCCCAGTTTATATATTGTGGGTTGTCTGTCCTACTTTATGTCTTGGGAGCTGTCTGTCCCAGTTTATATATTGTGGGTTGTCTGTCCCAGTTTATACATTGTGGGTTGTCTGTCCTACTTTATGTCATGGGAGCTGTCTGTCCCAGTTTATATATTGTGGGTTGTCTGTCCTACTTTATGTCTTGGGAGCTGTCTGTCCCAGTTTATATATTGTGGGTTGTCTGTCCCAGTTTATACATTGTGGGTTGTCTGTCCTACTTTATGTCATGGGAGCTGTCTGTCCCAGTTTATATATTGTGGGTTGTCTGTCCTATTTTATGTCTTGGGAGCTGTCTGTCCCAGTTTATATCTTGGGAGTTATCTGTCCCAGTTTAAAACCTGGGAGTTGTCTGTCCTAGTTTGTATCCTGAATTGGTTGTCATCCCCATTTTGTTGCTAAATAAATGTACTTGTAAAATTAAAAGTGCACTTCTTACATCTTCAATCATCAGATTATCCATTTCCTCCTCGTCAGTTTCCTCGTCTTCCACCTCATCGTCCTCTTCATCTATGGAATATTTTGTGTTAACAAACTCTAACATTTTTTCCATCATCTGCTGTCTTTTATAATACTGCAAGGCTTCCTTCAAAACACAATCAAACCACACAATATATATAGGATCTGAAATGAGTTTTCAATTTAAATGAAAAACAATTCCTGGGACCCTTAACAAGCAAAAATTGAAACTTAGAGACGAGTTTCATAAAATTTCATATAAAAATGAGCACTAATTTAAGATACTTTTTATTACATAAATCAGAAAAGTTATACTGAGCAGGTTCAAGGTAAAAATGTGAAGGACCAAATCAAAAGGAACTGATCAGAGTTCCTTATTGTGGTTTCAGTCTTATTTTGACAATAGGGTTTCTATGGCTGGTAACATGTCAAACACCTGTAAAGTTATTCATGGTGTCTCGGAAGGTCCTTTGATGTTTCTAGTTTTCATGAACAATTTGCCATTAAATGTGAAGGCTGATACAGATATGTATACAGCCGACTCTACTTAATCTGCTGCTCACAAATCATTAGATGATATCGAAAGCAAATTACATTCTCATTTAAACAATGTTTGTACATGGTGTGTTGAAAATAAAATGATTGTAAATGATAAAAAAAAAATAAAAATTTATAGTGTTTACTGTTTAACTCTATTTCTTTGTGTGATGAATCTCTGGACAAGGTTGTAAGAGATGAATTATTTGTTACGGTAATTCTTTGACATGGTCAGATCATATTTCATCTATTTTGGGCAAAATAAGGCAAAGATTAGACCTGCTGCATTGTTGAAGTCTTTATCTCCCTAAAACAACTGGGAAGATTGACAGGTACAATCAACTCTACTGTTGTACATTTATTATCTTTACAACCGGGTCTGAAAAAAATACCCTGGGAAATATCTCTTATCAAATATCAATCGTCACATGGAATTGTGGCAGGAGAAAATATACAGATATATAATATAGATAATTCTAAAGGGAGGTAACTCTAACATGAATTTACTGAACAGGTTATTTAGAAAGTCATGTGTCTGTTTTATAACTAGCTAACAAAATATGGTATATCTGATATGAGAGTGGAATTTAGTTTCTATATAATGAAATAAAGGTATACCTTTCTAGGAGTGAAATGTGCTTCATGATAACCAAGCTTCTGAATATAAAACATCTTGTTAGCCAACATCTCCTCGTGATCTGGTACAAACAGTAGGTAGGTACCTGCAGCCACTACTGCACGATCGTGGTCTTTTTCTGCGGACAACAAAAAATTATGATAATATCTTGATTTAAAGAAGGATTCATTACTTGAATGATGATTAAGTTTTTCCTTCTGGGGTGAAAAATAATAACACAAAAAAGTTTCATGAATGAGTTTTTTTTATGTCGGATAATTTCTGAAAGTGTCTGATACTGTTTCATGATCTTAGAGACACTAACAAATAAGTGTAATGAGTGTTAACTAACTTTTAATTGGTATTAACATCAGAACCAATATATAACACAATAAATCCTTTACAACAGAAAGAAATAACTGATTTTTAGCAATAATAGTACAAAACGTAAAACTGATACAAATTCTTCTCTCAGGAGAGGTTTACAGAAGAGAGTGTGAGGTTAGTGGGTGGGGGGCAGAGATTAGAGGAGTCCACAGTAGAGAGTGTGAGGTTAGTGGGTAGTGGACAGAGATTACAGGAGTCCACAGTAGAGAGTGTGAGGTAAGTGGGTAAGGGGCAGAAATTAGAGGAGTCCACAGTAGAGAGTGTGAGGTAAGTGGGTAGGGGGCAGAGATTACAGGAGTCCACAGTAGAGAGTGTGAGGTTAGTGGGTAGTGGACAGAGATTACAGGAGTCCACAGTAGAGAGTGTGAGGTAAGTGGGTAAGGGGCAGAGATTAGAGGAGTCCACAGCAGAGAGTGTGAGGTTAGTGGGTAGGGGGCAGAGATTACAGGAGTCCACAGTAGAGAGTGTGAGGTTAGTGGGTAGTGGACAGAGATTACAGGAGTCCACAGTAGAGAGTGTGAGGTAAGTGGGTAAGGGGCAGAGATTAGAGGAGTCCACAGCAGAGAGTGTGAGGTTAGTGGGTAGGGGGCAGAGATTACAGGAGTCCATTTTTTCTGTCAGGAGAGGTTTACAGAGATAGGGGCAGAGATTACAGAAGTCATTACATTTGTAGTCATCTAAGATAACTTATTCTCTCATTTCCACCTGTGTCAGATAGGCCTGTCCAGGGCAATAAACATGGTCATGATAGACGTTTATTACACAGGCGCCTGTGTAACAAAGCCTCGCGCGCGGAGTAATTCATAGTTTTTTCCCGCGCACTCATCGACTATGTCCTCGTCATCCGCTTCATCCACAAACACGCATAGTCGATTGGAGTCATTGTTTGCAGGCTCGTATTAACAAAACTGTTTTATAAATATCAACATCACCAACCCTGGGACTCGGCCTTTCCGCCGTCGTCCACGTGTGATTGAAAGTGACAATGACTAACTTTCCTCCTGTCGGTGTGGCGCGAAATGTGTGACGTAAGTGACGTCATCTCACAAGCAAACCAAGAATTCCATTCATAAATGTGTAAGATTTGTAAGATTACTATTGACAGTGAAGTAGTATTAATAACTTGACCAACATGTTCAAAGATGTAAAAAGTGTTTATGATATATTATACATTGAGCAATAGTAAATATTAAAAAGAAAAGTGTTGTTTTATTGCGTGTTTTAAGGCACTATATTTGAACGCGTACGCATGTCTCTGGGTGATATATTTGACAGGGTATTTGACCCAGCCCGCTTGAAGAAAAAACAGTTAAACATTGACGTTGGATGTTTACATTCAAAGTCCATATTATGTTTTCGACCGCAAACATAGTTTGCAAAATTCGGGGATGGAGAATCTATTTCAGCATATTTTTTATGTATATGGCCCAGGGAAAAAAATAGAAATCTGAAAAATGGCGGCGTCCAGTGATGGCTACCGCGAGGTGAGTGCAAATATTTGATAATATGAGATTAGAAATGAGAGAAAAAAACTCTTTTCTATATGGGTATGTAGGATAGGGATATTCCACCCTCGGGATCACAAAATATGGTAAAAACCCTCGGCAAGCCTCGGGTTTTACCACATTTTGTGACCCCTCGGGTGGAATATCCCTATCCTACATACCCATATAGAAAAGAGTCTTATAAAACTGTATCTGAAGATACTTACTCTTGTAATATGCAAACTGTAAGTAGTTGAAATGCTCAGCAAAGTAGTTTGGCTGGTGTTCTGCATATATCTTGCTGAGGACATCACCACATGTGACCTGACACTGAAGTACGGAGATGTAGTGATCTGTTAACAGAAAGGTTTAATGTAATCTGCTATAATTACTGAAAACTATAGTTTTCTCACAGAACTAAAAGATACAGGGACGCGATGTAAATCAATAGCAATGGTGCTAGATGAGACAAAACTTCTAGAGTCAAACCTTATCTAAAACAAGTACCCTCCCAATTCTAAAGAACAGATGTCTGATCAGAATATGGCACATCTATCCCTGTTTAAACTGGTCACTCACCGTTTCTCATAGCAATTCCAAAGTCTCACACAGTCTAATAAAATAATTCTATTCACTGTAGAAACACTAAATTATCATTTTTTTCTGTCTGTTAAAGTTTTCAATTCTTGGACGAATGAACTTAAGTCAAGGTTTTAGTTTCTCGAGCAAATGAGGTTGGAAGCAAACCTTCATCAAACTTGATTGCATTAACTTCATTCCTTTGTACATGTATACTGTTACGTTTATATATAAAGAGGTATGGTACACATTCCAGGGTATGAAGATGTGGCACATAGTTAGCACTTTTGTAAAGGATTTTTGTCAGGCTGTCAATAAATACACATCAAAAATAAACAGATGGACAGATTTGTATGAAGAAAAATATCATCTGTGACATAAACTTAATACCTGCCAAAGCATGTATAAAATCTGGATCTCTGTCATGTTCATACTGGCCCTCACAGTCGGCACGACAACGTTCATGCTCAAAGTAGTACTCCTCAAGTGCCCTTTCAAAGTGTGAGATAACATTATCCCAATCCTCCTTCTCATAGGCCTTCTCCCCCTCAGCTCGGTACACCTGCACCAAACACATCTACTTTAGCTTCTACTTAATTCATTTCAACCAAATGGGATATACATCTATAAATTTTGGAAATTCAACTTGATTTTAATTTCTCTAATAAGTGCTTTTTGATTTTCTCTATTTTATTAAAATGCTACATAAATTTCAAATTGACGCATATAGGTTGATATCAACAACTTTCTACACAGATTATAAACGTGTCCTGACTGGTTTCATACTTCAGTCATAAATTACCTTATATTGTTTACGTTCAAGGTCCATGATTTCCTCATTCTTGACCCCAAATGATTTACGATAGGCATGGATGTTGGTTATGGTGTCCTTGTGGTCTGGGTTTTTCAAAAAGAAAGTATAAGCAGCTGAGGTAGCATCCACTAATCGGCCAATCTGTAGGACGAAATAAAATTAAAAACGTACGGAAAAACACAATTATATTTCTACAGATAATACATTTGGATGATTTGTATACAGAACAAAGTTAGATATTACACTGTAGTAACAATCAGTTGTTTACACTTCACAAAAGTGTCTGTATATGTAAACAGAATGCAGCCAGTCCATTGACCAAAGTGGCCAGTTTTGTAGATGGGGTTTTATTGGCCATGTAGAAGAGAGCTAGTGAAACAATACACCTCTCATTAAGGGCACGAGTGAGAAGTTATAATCAGGAACTATACTTTGATGTTTATTTACACAAAAGTTGTAGTTCATGGCAGGGAAGTCGGGGAGAATCTTCTCTCAGGTTTTATTTTGAACAGGACAGATTCCATGTGTCTGTGTTAACACTGAACGTACTATTCTCCATGAGATGGAACACATGTATTTCAAAAATAAACACAAAATAAGATATCTTGCATGTTTCTATGTATCACTTACATTTAGAAGAAGAGCTACTGTGGTTAACTGAGAGTTCTGATAGAATTTAATCATTTCTTTCCCTCGGTTGGATAAAAGATGGACTAAAGCAATTTTCTTAGGAAAAATGTTTTTCATGTTGTTGACTTTTGTGTGTAATATGATATACAGTACATAATATATACAGTAACAATCATTAAGATTCTGATGTGAGTTTTAGAGAAAAAACAACAAACATCAGTTGATAATTATACTGCATTACTGATAGTTGGAAATAATGCTCTTTTCTTGTTCAAATATCCCTTTTAAAACTCCGATCAAAGTAATTTGAAAAAAAGCCACTTGCTGATATTTCAGACTTCAACTTTCTGTGTCTAAGAAAATGAAAAGATTTTGATGCTGAAAGACAATTCAATATTTGGAATCGAAAGATACCAACAGATAATTAACAACTGTCATTCTATATCTTTTTCATTTGGCATTGACAAACATTTGCAAGGTGAGCTACTACACTGTTCTGTACAGAAGCCCAATGGTGCCAAATAAAATCTTAAGGGAAAAAAAAATTATTGCAAGTGTATGAAATACTATTAACTTCAAGTCTCTCATGGCTTCGTAGCTTTAGTGCACTTACTACTCTACCTTCTACAGCAGCAGATTACATAACAATGACAATTTGAATGTCTATCTGAAATAGAAATCTTAAACAAGAACAGTCAATATGTAATAAAACATGTTTACAAGAAATCAGCATTCCTTGGTAAAATCTGCCAAGAGCCAAGAAGTAGCAAGTGTATTTCTTTACTGCTGTACTTGATTGCTAATGAATCATAGCTGGCTTTGTCACTCATATCATCCATGTCATGTTGAGATGTAACTTATCTAGATGAACATTTGGTTTACTCAAGAAATGAAGTGCTGCTGTAGAATTTTTATATAGTGTAGCGAACGAAACTTGCAATAATTTTTGTGTATATTCGTAAAAATTATTGTGAATATTCACAAATATATTGCATATATTTGCCGAAGTATTACATATATTTGCAAAGTATTGCATATATTTCAAAACATATTGCATATATTCCCAATATCTTATTTTTTTTCTAAGATTTCATTTGGTACCAATGGGCTTCCGTAGTTCTGTAACAGTGAAGGTTACAAATATCCAAAACCAGTCAAAAAACAAATGACTGAGGAATCATTATGTAATTGTTGTAAGAAGATGGACATGAGCTACTTGTACAGAATCTGTTATGTAATTGTTGTGAGAAGATGGACACAAGCTACCTGTACAGAATCTGTTATGTAATTGTTGTGAGAAGATGGACATGAGCTACCTCTACAGAATCTGTTATGTAATTATTGTGAGAAGATGGACACAAGCTACCTGTACAGAAACTGTTATGTAATTGTTGTGAGAAGATGGACAGTAGCTACTTGTACAGAAACTGTTATGTAATTGTTGTGAGAAGATGGACAGGAGCTACCTGTACAGAATCTGTTATGTAATTATTGTGAGAAGATGGACAGTAGCTACTGGTACAGAAACTGTTATGTAATTGTTGTGAGAAGATGGACAGGAGCTACCTGTACAGAATCTGTTATGTAATTGTTGTGAGAAGATGGACAGGAGCTACTTGTACAGAATCTGTTATGTAATTGTTGTGAGATGATGGACACAAGCTACTTGTACAGAATCTGTTATGTAATTGTTGTGAGAAGATGGACACGAGCTACCTGTACAGAATCTGTTATGTAATTGTTGTGAGAAGGGGGACACGAGCTACCTGTACAGAATCTGTTATGTAATTGTTTTGAGGAGATGGACAGTAGCTACTTGTACAGAATCTGTTATGTAATTGTTGTGAGAAGATGGACAGGAGCTACCTGTACAGAATCTGTTATGTAATTGTTGTGAGAAGGTGGACACAAGCTACTTGTACAGAATCTGTTATGTAATTGTTGTGAGAAGATGGACACGAACTTCCTGTACAGAATCTGTTATGTAATTGTTGTGAGAAGGGGGACACGAGCTACCTGTACAGAATCTGTTATGTAATTGTTGTGAGAAGATGGACACAAACTTCCTGTACAGAATCTGTTATGTAATTGTTGTGGGAAGATGGACAGGAGCTACTTGTACAGAATCTGTTATGTAATTGTTGTGAGAAGGGGGACACAAGCTACCTGTACAGAATCTGTTATGTAATTGTTGTGAGAAGATGGACACAAACTTCCTGTACAGAATCTGTTATGTAATTGTTGTGGGAAGATGGACAGGAGCTACCTGTACAGAATCTGTTATGTAATTGTTGTGAGAAGGGGACACGAGCTACCTGTACAGAATCTGTTATGTAATTGTTGTGAGAAGATGGACACAAACTTCCTGTACAGAATCTGTTATGTAATTGTTGTGGGAAGATGGACAGGAGCTACCTGTACAGAATCTGTTATGTAATTGTTGTGAGAAGATGGACAGGAGCTACTTGTACAGAATCTGTTATGTAATTGTTGTGAGAAGATGGACAGGAGCTACCTGTACAGAATCTGTTATGTAATTGTTGTGAGAAGATGGACAGGAGCTACTTGTACAGAATCTGTTATGTAATTGTTGTGGGAAGATGGACAGGAGCTACCTGTACAGAATCTGTTATGTAATTGTTGTGAGAAGATGGACAGGAGCTACCTGTACAGAATCTGTTATGTAATTGTTGTGAGAAGATGGACACGAGCTACCTGTACAGAATCTGTTATGTAATTGTTGTGAGAAGATGGACACAAGCTACTTGTACAGAAACTGTTATGTAATTGTTGTGAGAAGATGGACACGAGCTACCTGTACAGAATCTGTTATGTAATTGTTGTGAGAAGGGGGACACGAGCTACCTGTACAGAATCTGTTATGTAATTGTTGTGAGAAGATGGACACAAGCTACTTGTACAGAATCTGTTATGTAATTGTTGTGAGAAGGTGGACACGAGCTACTTGTACAGAATCTGTTATGTAATTGTTGTGAAAAGATGGACATGAGCTACCTGTACAGAATCTGTTATGTAATTGTTGTTAGAAGATGGACAGTAGCACCACACTACATAATCAAAAGCAACTGGATCAGTTCCAATGTTCCGTTACATACAGGTATATACATACATTTTGTATAGATTTATTGCTTCCATATAAAAACGTAAAGCCTCGCTGCACCAATATCTGTATCAACTTAAAGACACCCTCCCACAAAATACATTTCAGGTTTTAGACGTGGGCCATGATCAAGGAATACCGTGTGTATGTTACAGCTAGGTTTCTCCTGGTAATCAACACATGGCATATTGTCCTCAAATCTCAACATTATAGCTCCCACCCTGAAGGCAATAACACGTATGACATGGGTAAGTTAGTTTTCACTTTTAATTAATGAAAAATATCACATTTTGGCAATCAATAAAACAAAGGGAATGTTCTTAAACATGAATGATTATCTACTTTGTTTTCAAACTTTAATAATCAATTATCTGTATAAATAATAGACTAATCAATATTTAGTACATAACCAATTACATTGTATATATAAACAAAACATAAAAAATCATTTTTCTATGACCTTGACATTTAGCAAAAAACAAACCGATAGCATTGACAATGATTTCAATACAGCCTTGAAATATGACATTCATCTCAATTGTCTGAACATGAAAGTAATATAAACAGCATCCTTTTATTTTGATACAAATCTCTGTCAGTTTTAATAAGCATTCTGGTTGAAGCATCTCCATTTTTTTCATGTTTTATTTTGTGCAATAATTTTAACCTCTGGAGAAGTGATTTCAATCCTTATGTAAAACAAAAAATCTCAATAACAATTTTATCATGGTACAATCTCTAAATCATCACTTATTTCCACAAACCAAAGTGGAAAGGCTATAATTAATAACTGTTGGAACATCTCATTTCTAAAATGACCAAATAGTTGGAGAATATCACAGTTTTCTGTAAAACAGTCTATTTCATATCTTACTAGTTTGTGGTAAACCCCTTAAAAACCCTACAATTGTATCTACTGTCCTAAAAACACAGGACCATAAAAAGGTAACTATCAACTGGTGTGTTTGAATGTGAGAGGTGGGATGTCACACTAGTCTGTTGTCAGTGTAATGTGACAAGTTGGATGTCACACTGGTGTGTTGTCAGTATAATGTGACAAGGTGGGATGTCACACTAGTGTGTTGTCAGTGTAATGTGACAAGGTGGGATGTCACACTGGTGTGTTGTCAGTATAATGTGACAAGGTGGGATGTCACACTAGTCTGTTGTCAGTGTAATGTGACAAGTTGGATGTCACACTGGTGTGTTGTCAGTATAATGTGACAAGGTGGGATGTCACACTAGTCTGTTGTCAGTATAATGTGACAAGTTGGGATGTCACACCAGTGTGTTGTCAGTATAATATGACAAGGGGGAAATTCACACTGGTGTGTTGTCAGTATAATGTGACAAGGTGGGATGTCACACTAGTGTGTTGTCAGTGTAATGTGACAAGGTGGGATGTCACACCAGTGTGTTGTCAGTATAATATGACAAGGGGGAAATTCACACTGGTGTGTTGTCAGTATAATGTGACAAGGTGGGATGTCACACTGGTGTGACATCCCACCTTGTCACAGTGTAATGTGACAAGGTGGGATGTCAAACCAGTGTGTTGTCAGTATAATGTGACAAGGTGGGATGTCACACTGGTGTGTTGTCAGTGTAATGTGACAAGGTGGGATGTCAAACCAGCGTGTTGTCAGTGTAATGTGACATGGTGGGATGTCACACTGGTGTGTTGTCAGTGTAATGTGACAAGGTGGGATGTCACACTGGTGTGTTGTCAGTATAATGTGACAAGGTGGGATGTCACACCAGTGTGTTGTCAGTATAATATGACAAGGGGGAAATTCACACTGGTGTGTTGTCAGTATAATGTGACAAGGTGGGATGTCACACTAGTGTGTTGTCAGTGTAATGTGACAAGGTGGGGTTGTCACACTTGTCTGTTGTCAGTATAATGTGACAAGGTGGGATTTCACACTGGTGTGTTGTCAGTGTAATGTGACAAGGGGGAAATTCACACTGGTGTGTTGTCAGTGTAATGTGACAAGGTGGGATGTCCCACCAGTGTGTTGTCAGTATAATGTGACAAGGTGGGATGTCACACTGGTGTGTTGTCAGTGTAATGTGACAAGGTGGGATGTCAAACCAGTGTGTTGTCAGTGTAATGTGACAAGGTGGGATGTCACACTGGTGTGTTGTCAGTGTAATGTGACAAGGTGGGATGTCACACTAGTCTGTTGTCAGTATAATGTGACCATCAGTTCTTTTCACTGTAAAACCTAAGCCATGTGTTTTAGATAAATGTGTTTACCTTGAAGTAACAGTAATGAAGATAAAGATATGGTTTGCCATTATTGAAGTCATTCCAAACTTCTTCAGAAATAGAAGCAACAGGTCTGTCCTCAAACACAGCTGCTCTACACTTCTGAACACAAGCTTTTTCTGTAACAGACACCTGAATATAGAGACTCTGTAAATCTATCATTGTGAACATTCCGTCATCCATATATTCCTGGACTTCCTGTTTGCATTTCAGTCGACAGTTGGTCATGGTCTCTTTATAAAAATGATAGTCTTCTATAGCCATTTTCAAAAATAGGACACATTTGTGCCATTTTTCATCAACATACATCCGGAGTCCTGCTGTGTATAACTTGCCAAAGGTCAGTACTGGACTTCTGGGTAAATCCCACACCAGTCCAATACAACAACTCCATGACAACAGCAACAGTATCCAATGAAACCTGCTCCTGGAAATTGGAAAGTGACAAGTATCCATAATTGTTAGTCTGTATTTGTTGTGATCAGTCACCAGCAACCTTGTACAGTCAGAACCCTAAAGTATGAAGAGATTTCTCGATCAACCTGTGGGATCATGGCCAAAAAACGGTGACATATTTGTCCAGTGTTCGTGTTGTCCAACATACAGTACTGTATCCATCATTACACCAGAATGTTCCACAATTTACAGGAGTAACAGAAACACCTAAAATCACAAGTTTGATCTTCAGATTGTTACTGGTCCTTTAATACTTCAGTTCTAGTACAGAATACATCTACAGGTACACATCCAATTGTTAAAATTTTCCTGTTTGTCTATAAGTAATTTCAACACTGAAGTGTTATGTGGTTGAGCCTAGACTGTTTACTGTAACATACCGCTGAGGAGTTGGCCTCATACTTCTCTACACCCCCTCAACAAATCCAGAGGCGGTGTATATAGAGCAATGTTAACTATCTGTGTAATGACAATAGCAGCCCCTTACTTCTCTCCTCACAATGTGACATAAGCCTGTGCAATACACATGCTTTTCTCACAATTAAGTCTGACAGGTCGTTCATGGGTAATCTTTTGCAAAACATCAAAACATATTAAATGCAGTATTCGTGTGTATAAGCTGTTTATATGTTACTTACTCTACAGATTACCACAACAAAAGATTATTTTTAAACAGGAGTCAACCAAGAAGCAATTAGGATATATCATTACTCTCACTTCCTTTATCAAAACTGTTCTGGATATTTTACCAGGCAATGTCATGTAGGTCAGAGATCATAGAGACTGTAGCAATGGATTCTCCTAAAACATCCCTAATCTTAAATAAGGGGCTGAGCAACCACATCATTTACAGTTAGGCTGTTTATAATAAATTTACAACAGTTGGGTTTTTTTTACATGTTTCTTAAGATAAAACAACAACTGTTCAAAACTTTCAAAATACATAAAACATTTGATTTTACAGATGGATATAGTGTTTATATATTTATGTATATACATATATAACAAAGGCCATTTTATTAGATCTGACAGGGATTTGTACCCAAGACATTGTTTGGTTCTCCACTGAGGTAAAGAGAAATTATCTACTAAGCTGAGATGGTAAGAAGTCATTTATTAGGGTGACAGTACAGCTGTAGATATAGTTGGCTAATTTCATCTCACATGATGATGAAGACTGCGTGTATTGTACCTCTACCTAGAGTCACTTCACACCATCAACACTAAGGCAGGAAGGTAAATATGTTTACAAGTGACAATAACTATGGCAGATGTTTATGTGTCTGGATGTTTACAAGAGTACATCTGTTATCTTATCTCCTTTAGCTGAGCCCAGCTGCATTATCAGGAATGTACGCTCATCAAGAAAATATTTATAGAAATCAGAATTACCGTTATTAATTATAGTGACTGCGACTGTGTCTGATCTTTCAAGCATTAATGTATCTAAGTGTGATCTCCCACGCAGTAAAGTGACCGAGTCTGATCTCTCAAGAATTAAAGTGAATCTGATCTACGAAGCAGTAAAGTGAGTCTGATCTCTCAAGCATTAATGTGACCGAGTCTAATGATCTCTCAATCACTGATGTGTCTAAGTGTGATCTCCCATGTAGTAAAGTGACTAATTTTGATCTCTCAAGCATTAAAGTGAATCTGATCTAAGAAGCAGTAAAGTGTGTCTGATCTTTCAAGCATTGAAGTGAATCTGATCTAGGAAGCAGTAAAGTGTGTCTGATCTCTCAAGCATTGAAGTGAATCTGATCTAAGAAGCAGTAAAGTGTGTCTGATCTTTCAAGCATTGAAGTGAATCTGATCTAGGAAGCAGTAAAGTGTGTCTGATCTCTCAAGCATTGAAGTGAATCTGATCTAAGAAGCAGTAAAGTGACAACAAGACCTTCCATGCAATAAAGCAATTGAGATATATCTCTGAAGAAGTGACACTGATTCACTGTCAGATCTCTCAAGTGTCAACGGAATGATTTTCAAACAGTAACTCAACATAACTTGTCTCTCATGCCGTTGCTCTTTATAACAATTCTCTCAAGCAGTAAATTGTCCGATCTTTCAAGCTGTGACTCGATATACTGCCCATCTCTAAAGCAACAACTGAGTAAAGTCTAGCTCTCAAGCATTGACTCAGTGTAACTCTAATTTCTCAAGAAAGTAATCCCTCACAGAATGCAGCAGTACATTACTGAACTCTCGAGCAGTGATTCAGTTTACCTCCATTCTCTCAAGCAGTGGCTTTGTACAACTTTGTTCATTGCATAACTGATCTTTCATTCTAATCTCTCATGGAGCAGAAAAACTGAGAGTATGTCTAGCTGAGTATTACATATCAGATCACTCTACATATATGAAATGTATCATTATCACATCCTCCTCATCAAGTATGTATGGTCCAATTTTCTAGACAGGGCAACAGCTGATGTGTAAGTGTAAGGAGGTACTTTTAATTCACTCCTGTTTAGCAACAGATAGCCATCAAATAATCAAATTTGGAGAACACACTGACGAATTAAAACCAAATCACTTAGTGAACCTATCAATTAAGAAAATATTGCCACTTATCAAGAATTTTATCATCTGTCAATAAGATAAACGGACATCTTAAGAATTTATTTCAGGTAAAACTACATTAATTGTAATTGTACCATGTAGTAGCCCGTTTCCTCACACAGAGCCCTTGTGGATGTTTACTTGTGGGTGGGTCTGTACTATACAGGTATATTCAGCTCAGCAGCCCTACAGACTAAGGCAGTAGTCTAGTGGTACATTCTCTGGTCAGCAGCCCTGTGTGTACATTACAGAAGCTATAAATCTCGAAGATCTGGGACACAGGATGCATTTCCTAAACAACTGTAGATTTATGTCATGCAGTTAAAATTTCCTACTGGCTTAGATATATGTGACAAGAACAGATGCCCTATCCATCGCTGAAACCATACTTTTTACAAATATTTTTTAGTGTTGATGGGTATTTGTGGAGATTTCGACATCAATGATCAGTTACAATAATTGGATACTGACAAGTGTTTCTCGACCATTACTCATTTGTAACCAATAATATATCACATTACATCAACTCAAGGTTGATTTGAGTGCTGCATCTTTTGATTTTTAAATGTTTTTGATAAACGTAAGACTTCTACATTTATCTATACTTATTACAAATTGTTCTGACATTCTATCGGCCCTTTGGTATTGTTCTGGAGTCCATGGAGTAGAGTTCATCAACTCCAGAGCCTTTTGGTATTGTTCTGGAGTCCATGGAGTAAAGTTCATCAACTCCAGAGCCTTTTGGTATTGTTCTGGAGTCCATGGAGTAAAGTTCATCAACTCCAGAGCCTTTTGGTTCTGGAGTCTATTGAGTAAAGTTCATTAACTCCAGAGCCTTTTGGTTCTGGAGACCATTGAGTAAAGTTCATTAACTCCAGAGCCTTTTGGTTCTGGAGTCTATTGAGTAAAGTTCATCAACTCCAGAGCCTTTTGATTCTGGAGTCTATTGAGTAAAGTTCATCAACTCCAGAGCCTTTTGGTTCTGGAGACCATTGAGTAAAGTTCATTAACTCCAGAGCCTTTTGGTTCTGGAGTCCATGGAGTAGAGTTCATCAACTCCAGAGCCTTTTGGTATTGTTCTGGAGTCCATGAAGTAAAGTTCATCAACTCCAGAGCCTTTTGGTATTGTTCTGGAGTCCATGAAGTAAAGTTCATCAACTCCAGAGCCTTTTGGTATTGTTCTGGAGTCCATGAAGTAAAGTTCATCAACTCCAGACTGATGTAAAAAGTTGATAGAATGTCAGATTAATTCTAATCTATACTCCTACTAAATATTATATAAATTGATGTTCCCGATGGTAAACTCCTACTAAATATTATATAAATTGATGTTCGCGATGGTAAACTCCTACTAAATATTATATAAATTGATGCTCGCGATGGTAAACTCCTACTAAATATTATATAAATTGATGTTCCAGTAAACTCCTTTAAATATTATATAAATTGATGTTCCGATGGTAAACTCCTACTAAATATTATATAAATTGATGCCGATGGTTCCTACTAAATATTATATAAATTGATGTTCGCGATGGTAAACTCCTACTAAATATTATATAAATTGATGTTCGCGATGGTAAACTCCTACTAAATATTATATAAATTGATGTTCGCGATGGTAAACTCCTACTAAATATTATATAATTTGATGTTCCCGTTGGTAAACTCCTACTAAATATTATATAAATTGATGTTCGCGATGGTAAACTCCTACTAAATATTATATAAATTGATGTTCGAGATAGTAAACTCCTACTAAATATTATATAAATTGATGTTCGATGGTAAACTCCTACTAAATATTATATAAAACTCCAGAGCCTTAAATATTATATAAATTGATGTTCCCGATGGTAAACTCCTACTAAATATTATATAAATTGATGTTCCAGAGCCTTTAAATATTATATAAATTGATGTTCCGATGGTAAACTCCTACTAAATATTATATAAATTGATGTTCCCGATGGTATTGTTCCTACTAAATATTATATAAATTGATCAACTCCAGAGTAAACTCCTACTAAATATTATATAAATTGATGTTCCCGATGGTAAACTCCTACTAAATATTATATAAATTGAGCCTTTGGTTCTGGAGTAAATATTATATAAATTGATTCATAAACTCCTACTAAATATTATATAAATTGATGTTCGATGGTAAAGTCCTATAAATATTATATAAATTGATGTTCGATGGTAAACTCCTACTAAATATTATATAAAATGTTGATGGTAAATCCTACTAAATATTATATAAATTGATCTCGCGATGGTAAACTCCTACTAAATATTATATAAATTGATGTTCCCGATGGTAAACTCCTACTAAATATTATATAAATTGATGTTCCCGATGGTAAACTCCTACTAAATATTATATAAATTGATGTTCGCGATGGTAAACTCCTACTAAATATTATATAAATTGATGTTCGCGATGGTAAACTCCTACTAAATATTATATAAATTGATGTTCCCGATGGTAAACTCCTACTAAATATTATATAAATTGATGTTCGCGATGGTAAACTCCTACTAAATATTATATAAATTGATGTTCCCGATGGTAAACTCCTACTAAATATTATATAAATTGATGTTCCCGATGGTAAACTCCTACTTAATATTATATAAATTTATGTTCGTGATGGTAAACTCCTACTAAATATTATATAAATTGATGTTCGCGATGGTAAATCAGAACTGTGACCAATCTTGAAATGATTTCTAACCTTTGTTAGCACATACTAAGTGACAAAATCTACACACATCATTGATCATATCTAAGTATTTTGCCGACCCAATTTTATTCATTTCAGCAAATATATCTTACCAAATCTTGGTTGCTACTCATCCATGATTACAAACCAAGACTGCTACTACTTCACTGAAGAAATCTAGCAGAAAAAAAGGTTTTACTAAAATTTTCATTGAACATTCATAACTGCCATATTACACTTTTCAAACTGAAAAGTTTTCCACTAATCTATTTGATACATTGTGTAAGAAACTAGCTTTCAAAGATTGAGTTCATGGATTTACCACTAAAAATGAAACTAAAACATACACATCATCTGCAATCTGTTGCCTTTTCAAATTTCAGACAAGACAGAATAAATCCCTTCTTGCACAATTACGTGTGTATTAAACTTTGAATGGATGGACAATGGGAGACAACTGGACAGGCAGAAGATAGGCCAAACATTTTCTTTCAAAGACTAGAGGCGCAGTAATACTTGCATAGAATGGTTCAGGATTCTCACATATGAAATATGTAATTATGAGAAATTCACATTTTCTTTTAAATCTGTTGGTATTATATAGATTTATTTGGCAAAATGATACAAAATGACAACTACTTCAGGTAATAATTTCTAAACACATTTAATCCCTCTCGCGGAGATAGATGAGTGATGGATTTTCTTTGTGAAGAATAATCGTAATGAGGTTCAGGCTATAAATCTGGTGACGACTCCAGATGATCAGGGTCTGAAACAGTTCTCCAGGGGCCAACTCAAACAACACCCAAGGTCGGGGGGCCAACTCAAACAACACCCAAGGTCGGGGGGCCAACTCAAACAACACCCAAGGTTGGGGGGCCAACTCAAACAACACCCAAGGTTGGGGGGGGCCAACTCAAACAACACCCAAGGTCGGGGGGCCAACTCAAACAACACCCAAGGTCGGGGGGCCAACTCAAACAACACCCAAGGTTGGGGGGGCCAACTCAAACAACACCCAAGGTGGGGGGGCCAACTCAAACAACACCCAAGGTTGGGGGGCCAACTCAAACAACACCCAAGGTCGGGGGGCCAACTCAAACAACACCCAAGGTTGGGGGGGCCAACTCAAACAACACCCACGGTCGGGGGGCCAACTCAAACAACACCCAAGGTTGGGGGGCCAACTCAAACAACACCCAAGGTTGGGGGGGGGGGGCAACTCAAACAACACCCAAGGTCGGGGGGGCCAACTCAAACAACACCCAAGGTTGGGGGGGGCAGCTCAAACAACACCCAAGGTCGGGGGGCCAACTCAAACAACACCCAAGGTTTCAAACAACACCCAAGGTTGGGGGGGGCCAACTCAAACAACACCCAAGGTTGGGGGGCCAACTCAAACAACACCCAAGGTTGGGGGGGCAACTCAAACAACACCCAAGGTTGGGGGCCAACTCAAACAACACCCAAGGTTGGGGGGGGGGCAACTCAAACAACACCCAAGATTGGGGGGCCAACTCAAACAACACCCAAGGTTGGGGGGGGGCAACTCAAACAACACCCAAGGTTGGGGGGGCCAACTCAAACAACACCCAAGGTTGGGGGGCCAACTCAAACAACACCCAAGGTTGGGGGGCCAACTCAAACAACACCCAAGGTTGGGGTGGCCAACTCAAACAACACCCAAGGTTGGGGGGGCCAACTCAAACAACATCCAAGGTTGGGGGGGCCAACTCAAACAACACCCAAGGTTGGGGGGCCAACTCAAACAACACCCAAGGTTGGGGCCTACTCAAACAACACCCAAGGTTGGGGGGGGCCAACTCAAACAACACCCAAACTCAAACAACACCCAAGGTCAAACAACACCCTAGGTTGGGGGCCAACTCAAACAACACCCAAGGTTGGGGGACCAACTCAAACAACACCCAAGGTTGGGGGGGGGCAACTCAAACAACACCCAAGGTTGGGGGGCCAACTCAAACAACACCCAAGGTTGGGGGCCTACTCAAACAACACCCAAGGTTGGGGGGGGGCCAACTCAAACAACACCCAAGGTTGGGGGCCTACTCAAACAACACCCAACGTTGGGGGGGGAGCAAACTCAAACAACACCCTAGGTTGGGGGCCAACTCAAACAACACCCAACGTTGGGGGGCCAACTCAAACAACATCCAACGTTTGGGATAAATTCAATATGATTAATGTTTGAGGTCTGTTGATAATCATAAGGACTCTGTATAGCAACTAATGTAAAGTATCTTATTGTTACCTGGTCAATTAATTTTTAACCTTTCATCTACCATACATTAGAGAAGATATCAAAAACCCAAGGTCAACTGATTGTAGGATCAAATCTCCTCCATTACACTGTATAGGACCAACAGTAATTGGTAAACAATAGCGTGGTACAGAAAGTATTTAATATAAATATGTTGTTGTAAACTTATAATCAGCCAACATTGTAATATTTTATCACTTCCTCAAGCTTATACAAACAGCCAAGTAGAACATACAAGATTCAAAAATTTATCACTGACAATCAAACACCTACATTACCATCTAATCTTCAACAAAATGGGGACTTTTCAGTTATATAGCAAAACAAGTATCTTTTTTCTATCAAAGAATATATATAGATACTATTTAGCATTCAATAACTGGCATCTCATCCATATACTGGGCTAGTATCTCACAATGCAACATAACCTTGAATATCACTTGCTCTTTTATGTTGTCCTGACTTTATAATGGATGTCTTTTGTTATTTTATCTGCCAGCATGACCTTGACTGTCAATCATACTGTTTTTTGGCTCTGCCTGAACATAGCTAGATTTTCTCCACTTCAATTTTTTTTCAAGTCCACATACATGTATTTTGCTGCAGCTGACAGAAGTGGCCAAGATTCAAATTACTACAATATTTAATATTTTTTTAAGAAAAAAAAAATTGGACTCAAAATTCTGATTTTGATGTTAGTGACAATAATAACACCAGTGACAAGCGTTTGGTTTGTAAATCTGATAACTAGATCACTAGAACATGGAAACTTCTCGAACAGGAGCATGTCGAGTCAGCATAAACGTAAGTGTTACTGATTATACATGTACAGAATCTGTCGCAACCACAATTATAATATACACAATTTTACCTAAAACATCTACATGTTTAAGGAATTGCATATGTTGTTTTTCTGAAGTTGTTTACAGCAGTTTAACGAGGGCAATTGGCAAAAGAGATAATCCAAATCCTATCACACTCCTAAGGAAATGTCATCATGCATGGTCGAGCATTTGTTGAAGGTTGTTTTTGAAAATACAAGTTCTTTTACTTCTGTACACCAGAAATAACGAGGAGAGAAACACAAAGATCTACATTAAAGTTAATCAATTATTATACTATTTTATGATATACCTATTTAACTGATTGTAACTATATAATGGAGCTATCAGTGCAAGTTACTGAGAGGTGATTTATCTATTATTTCATGTCTGATCACAATAACCACCTAACTGTTCAAAATCGTCCATATAATGTTCTAGTAGTCATTATAATAGGCTTCTTATTTTGAAAGTTTCACATGGGAATAATATAATACAGAGTCTAGAGAGTGATAACGAAGTCGCAATCCAATATATTTGTTTACAAATCAAAAATATGAATAAACAAACTGGTTTGTTTGAATGACAGACTTACGAAGTACCTGAATACATATAAATACAAGTATATCATGAAACATTTAGACCAGAAATCTACACATTTTTTATGTATGAATAATCAAAATAACAATAAAACTACTGCATCATAAATATGTTACAACAGTATCTGTAAATAAGAGCTCCAGATTTACCTCCCTTTATACAACCATCTATATTTCTGTTTTAAAAGTACCCCATAAGTTGTTGCTGATGACCTGGACACTAAACTTGGTTCTTCTCTGTACAATTTTTCATTTCTACTGGTTTAATGTGTTTGGAGGGTACATTACAGCCACAAGCCCTAAAATACCAACTTGTCGTCTGAATTGCCTTTCCTATAGATACAACATGCTCAGGTTTCAATGTTCTGATTACCACAGATAGGATGACAGATAAATACTAATCAAACACAAGGAACAGTCAATGGGTAAATAATGCCAATATCAAATGTGCCTTTTATCAAACCCATGGCCAGGGCAACAAAGCACTTCTTATTACCCTTAATGAAGACCAATTAAAGGACAATGAAATGATACCTCAGCATCAAACTATAGGTGGCTAAATGTTCTATAAATATGATAAATATGTTAAGGTAATGAATAATCTCACAGGAAACGTAATCACTTCATTAATGATAAAGGTAAAGGTTTTCTTCTACACAATCAGCTATACCAACAAGTCTTATACAGTAACCAACAATATTCTTACAGACAGATCCATCCTCGATACTCCAGAGGTTACAATCACTTTCTGCATTCCTGGAACATTTCATGGCGAAATTGAAAGTTCCATGTACAAAACTTTGTGGATAAGACAAGAAGAATATAGTTTGATCTTTAGACGTACATCAAATAAATCTTGAGGTCGTATAACAGTATGTTGTACTGACTTTTATAACCTTCAAAGGAGCACATCAGTCTGTGAGTGGTCAGTTTTTTGCCTGAAACCCTCTCTACATCAATAAAAACTTTTTATGTTACTTGTGTTTTCAATTTTGCCAAGAAATGTGTAGAGAGCGATAGTGAGCATAATCTCTAGAGAAGTGAGGATGAGATAGATTACAATTTAATATTGAAGATTGAGGAAAAATGATACCATGATACCTTATTTGTGTGTCCACAGTTACAATTATGGGTGATCAGGTTGTGCCTTAGCTTTCACCAAGACGTCAGGGTGTTTGATTCTCCATGGACCTTAAAGGTCAGGGGTCACCTGTCTAACCACAGTTTGTATCTGTATATTTATTAGATTTATAAACCATTTGAGGAGCATTCCTTCCTGTGAATGGCAGAAATATGCTACATTATCATTTTTTAAGTTTAGACCTAAAAGAGGAACATACTAGAACTTATGCTTAACAGTGATAAGAATGGAAATGTACAGAAAACACCCCTGCATGTATCCTGTATGATTTCTAGGATAATTTGTATTATCTTGAGTTGTGAACTGCCGTATTAGTAAATCAAAGGGACATCACAGTAACAACATGAATTTTGTTACTGATTGTACACGTTATATACACTTCCTGTTACGTTTCTTTACTATTCTTCAATTTCCAATGTCAAGCTTGACCAGTTCTTTGGTTCAAGTAATGCCTTTCAAAGTAAGTGCTGAAAATGTCACATGATATTTTTTGAAAACATGAACACATGATGGTAGGAAGAAATGACAACGACAGTATTAACACAGTCAGTAATATCCTGTTATCCAGCACCAGATTTTGTTATGGGTGTGGCTTAACATCTAACTGATTCAGGTGGGAAGCCATTTTTGTTTACAGGTGATGGGGTTGTGTGCGCATGCAGCATCATATACGATGCAAAAATTTACATATTAACAGTTGATTAACAAATAAAGATTTCCTTTTTATAATTTTTAATTAACCTTTTGATGTGCATATTTCACCGATCTCAAACTATCAGTGTTGATAAGGTGATAAACTTGATTTATAAATGCAATAGAAGATCAGTAAGAAAAAAGAAATTGTATTACCATTGATGCCACTAATAAATGTATCTACTTTACAAAAATACATGTTTCCATTCACTTTTATCTTTAATTTTATGCCATTTTTGACTATCGGCCAAGAAACAAATACTCAAATAAAACATGGTCCCAAGAATACTGTCCACTTTGTTGAAGAAATTTGTCTTGAAACAGATAATAAGCAATTATCCTTCTCTGTTCATGGTCCTCTCAGTTTCTATAATGGATGGATAAGTCAGGTTCACAGAAGTGGCTTTGTAAATTATTTGTTTTTGTTCTTTTTTTATAGTACTCCAAACATCTACAACGGATTATCAATATCATAAAGACATCACGAGGGGTGTAGAGCCATACTTCTCGTGTAGGTTCCCTTGTGTAGGTATGGTATGTCCTCTCATGTAGGTATCATAGGTTCCCTCGTGTAGGTATCGTGGGTTCCCTCGTGTAGGTATCGTGGGTTCCCTCGTGTAGGTATTGTATGTCCCCTCGTGTAGGTATTGTATGTCCCCTTGTGTACGTATTGTAGGTTCCCTATTGTAGGTATCGTAGGTTCCCTCGTGTAGGTATTGTAGGTTCCCTTGTGTAGGTATGGTATGTCCTCTCATGTAGGTATCATAGGTTCCCTCGTGTAGGTATCGTGGGTTCCCTCGTGTAGGTATTGTATGTCCCCTCGTGTAGGTATTGTATGTCCCCTTGTGTACGTATTGTAGGTTCCCTATTGTAGGTATCGTAGGTTCCCTCGTGTAGGTATCGTAGGTTCCCTCGTGTAGGTATCGTAGGTTCCTTGTGTAGGTATCGTAGGTTCCTTAATCCCTCGCTTGTATACCCCAAGATCCCGTTGACATGGTAATGACGTTATCACACTGAAGATCCTAAGTTTGTTGCAATTGACCACACCCCTTTCTTCATATAATAAAAATATATTGATGCTATTAAATACACTGTAAATACTCATCCTTAATGAAAATACCACTAGAGTTCAGTCAACAGTGGTAAAATATTCTCCCATATTTCACAGGTGTATCACTATGATCGCTATAGGGAAAATGAAGACTGAAGGACAAAATAACTCCCACAAACTTTGACATCATCAATCACAGTAGGGTAATTGCCATCAGCCATCACTTTATGTAGCATAGAGAAAAAGAATATTGGAGATCGAGCACTCTCAAAGTCTCAGATAGTGGTTAGGTTCCTGGATAAATTAAGGATTCCACATGTTTCAACTACTATGCAGTCCTGATGTCGACATGCCGGCGGTGGTTTATTCAATAGAATACACATACACAAGAGTTCTTGGATGTTGAGAATCTGTGAATCCTTTATTTACTGTTTTATGTTTATGTAGCACAGTGTAAATCATATTATATTTGGAAAACATTATCAATTTTAAACATATTTCCTTGACCATTGTGCAAAATACTGTTCACAAAATCAACTTTCAATATTTTCCGTTGGGATAGGAAAGTGAATGAGAAAAATAATCAATTACATCAGTTTGATGAGGACCGAGCTGTTTCAACTCAAGGATAATATATATTTTTTATGTTTTACACTAAGCTTTTCAGCAGCTTTGAACATTTTACTTGGAGAAAGTGTGCGAAAAAAATATTATTACCTCTATTTGATATGCACAGAATTATCTCAACCCACAGAATAAAATTTTAAATGTTTTGTGCTCAGCTTTGTAACAATTTTCAATAATTTATGTAGCTAAAGCGTCCAAACATGATCAATCACTCTTGTCTGGTTGTACAAAGACATCACAACCCATGGGGTTATACAGGGATTTTTTTAAAGTTTAAACATATAAAGATAATAACTCCTGATTTGAACACTTTTGTCTATTGTACAGGTATGAGATTCTATTCTCAATAGTCTGAACCAGTAACCATGAATCACTATTGACACTTTCACTGTAACTTGCCACAAGCTTATTTGTTATTTTCAGCAATCCACCTTACCAATCCTGCGAAAAATGTTGATTAAAGCCCCCTGGGCGTTTAATCAGATAAATACAGTTTATTAATTCTTTTTAATAGAACTTCGTGTCCATATCTTTTTCAAGTAATCCCGCATTTAAGTAAATAATTCATTACTTAAAACAACTATCTATCATATACAGGACAACTGTATCCATATGTCGGGTTATACACAATCTCTGCTTAACCTATTTTTGGGAATGGGGAGGGGGAAGAAATGGGGCGGAAAAGGCCAGGCTAAGACAGCCTTTCCGCGTAAAAAGTTTATAATTACCTTGTAGTAACAGAATTGTAAGTAGCTGTATGCAAGACGATTTTCAAAGTTCATTAATACGTTTCTTGGAACTTTTTCGGGTCTTTGTCCAAAAATAGACTTTCTGCATCTTCTTACACAGCCAGACTCAAAAATCATTCGTTC